AGGCAGAATCTGGTGGCTCAAAGACCTAGTAGAACTAGGAAATAGTTAAGCCAAGCAAGCAAAGTAAGTTATTTCCTTCTTCATGTGGCTCTCAGGTTCTTTGGCTTTTCAGACCCTGACACTATTAAGTCGCCAGGCAGTGGCTGCAGTTTTATTGGTTGTAAAATTGAGCTGGCAGCATCCTTGCAGAAACCCTCTGCTGGTCCACAGGCCAGAAGAACTGTGGGAGAGTCATAGTGACAGGTTACCAAACTCCACACAACATAATGGTCACTTCGGTTCATACAGAGTCTGGTTTTAGAGTACATCTTGTTTCCTTCTGCCTTGCCATAACTATACTTTCCAAGTTTCCACATTTTAAACTTATAGTGATTTGTCATTTTCTGGCACACTCCTTCACTTCCAAGTTGAAATGTCCAATAGTAAAATGTCCAGTGGTAATAATTTAAGCACTGCCCATGGTTACACTGATGTGGCTAGTCCTACTGGCAATTGTCAGGGTCAGATTCTATACAGGTCCCTGCCTTTCAATATCCCCATTGAGAGACAGTACTACTATTTTTACTTTCCTTTGGATTGGTACTGTGCCCCAGACAAAGATTCATCTGTGACAACCCAAAGCATTGTGGCCTTCAACTCTGGCTGGGCTTGTTCTAGAGATCTAAACCACTGAGCCTCTTGGGCTTGCTGATCAGAAGGTCGGTGGGTGAGCTCCCATTGCTCTGTCCCAGCTCCTGCCAACCTAGCAGTTCGAAAACATGCCAATGCAAGTAGATAAATAGGTACTGCTGTGGCGGGAAGGTAAATGGCATTTCCGTGCGCTCTGGTTTCCATCAAGATGTTCCATTGCTCCAGATGTGGCTTAGTTATGCCGCCCACATGACCTGGAAAGCTGTCTGTGGACAAATGATGGCTCCCTCAGCCTGAAAGCAAGATGAGTGCCGTAACCCCACAGTCACTTTTGACTGGACTTTTTATTCCCAAGGACCCAGGACCATTCTGTCAGTTCATGCACCTTGGACCCATCCCCTACCAGCCATGCCTCTGCTCCCTGGCATTTCAGGTCCCCTGATCACCCAAAGTATGCTCAAGTTAGGAAGAAGATGGGAAGCTGCCTTATCAATCTGACGGTGCGACCATTGGCCCTTTGCCTGTCTTGTTTATGCTGCCAGTAGCTCTGAAGATTTCAGATTTCCCAGCCCTACCTGGAGAAGTTGGGCACCTGAGCCCAGGGCCAGCGCCTGACCATTTCGGTTGCCACACTCGCACCTTCAAGATGCAGCATGCAAACTAATTCTCTCCCACGCTGGGAGAGGTGGGTGGGGTTGGCAAAAATTGTAGTCCCCTGCCTAGAACCACCAGCAGGCAAAGCTCATACTCTCTCACTACATCACTACAGTTGAACTTGCAAAAATGTAGGGATATGTTAATGGGGCACAAGGGGTAAAAAGATAATTACAGTGGTACCTCTGGTTACGAACTTAATTCGTTCCTGAAGTCTGTTCTTAACCTGAAACTGTTCTTAACCTGAGGTACCACTTTAGCTAATGGGGCTTCCTGCTGCCGCCGCCCGATTTCTGTTCTCATCCTGGGGCAAAGTTCTTAACCCAAGGTACTACTTCCGGGTTAGCGGAGTCTGTAACCTGAAGTGTTTGTAACCCGAGGTGTTTGTAACCTAAGGTACCACTGTATTCAATGTCTCCTGTGGGGGGTGGGGGAGGCATTAGATAGATAGATGATGATAGATAGATAGATAGATAGATAGATGATAGATAGATAGATGATAGATAGATAGATAGATAGATAGATAGATAGATGATAGATAGATAGATGATAGATAGATAGATAGATAGATAGATAGATAGATAGATAGATATAGATAGATGATAGATAGAGTTTTCCTCATGGATTTGCAGATAAAAATTACTTCCATAGAGCTTTCCCTCAGAAACCCATGCATGTCAGTTTTCTTTCAGCAATGTAGCATAATAAGGAAAGGCAATTCATGCTGTTTCCTGCTGCCGAACATCATGATTAGAGAGATGACTGCCACCCCAGCACTATGCTGGACAATCTGGGACGAAAGCAGACGAAAAGCAGAGCGCTGCCATGTCCAAATGCACTCCACACCTGGCTGCTAGAAACCTTTTGTGCTTCTTTGTTGTGCCGTATCTTCGGGCTGGAGGCTTTCAAGGGACCTTTATTCCTCTGATTACAAAATTAGTGTTGGGTTTAATGAGATTTCTCCTTTTATTTGTGTCTTCTCCTGGCTTTCTTCCTTCCGTTTGATGGTACAACCATTTGCTCTTATCTATCTCCATGGTGATGTGTCTTGTCCCAAGCCTGTGTCTCCCTCCCTCCCTCCCTTTCTCTCCATAACCCCCCATCCCACCCCCCCCAACTACTTGTGATGCTGTGGGGATTTAGGTTGCCTGCTTAAAACCCTCTAAAGTAATACATGGAAACAAATTGGTTCTGTAAATAGATCTCATCTTCAAAGTAAGATGGTTTTCTAGAAAATCTGGCCTCTCTCTCTTTGCTTGGAAAGCAACTCTGTTTCACAGTCATTACAATGAACATCTCCATGAATACAGAGGACATACAGGAACTCTGCGCAGAAGTCCTATTAAGGACCTTCTACAGGAGTTAAAGCCTGTAAACCGAGGCTACTTTTTATGCTCTTGTTTTAACTATTATTTATTTACATTTGATTATAAGCATTTATAATCCGAAGGCCTCAGGGCAGGAAATAGAAACATGTAAAACAAAAACTAATATAAATTCAAACAATCATCAGTAGCTGGTTGGCCTACAGTTTTAGGTGGAAAGCACTGTGGTAATGTATGCAGTGCTTAATTTCTGAAACAAGACGTACTAGGAACATACTTGTGTAGACATCATGCCCTCTTCTCTGGAAAGTCTACTTCCAAAGGCCAAATATACATGATTAGTGGCTGCCCTATAACTTAGTGGAAAGACACAGTCTAAGCACATCAGGGACACCAGCTCCTGGGAGCGGAGCCCTTTTGAGCCCCTCAAATATTTTGGGGGTGGGGTCCGGCCCCCATCCATGTCCAAAAAGCACAGAGGTGAAATGTGGAGCTGACCGCGGCGTGACACTTTGTCAGTTAAGATGCTCCATTCACTGCAATGACGCCACATGCTTGAAGGCTGAGCCCTGTAAACTGAGCACAGGTTCGAGAGCTGCACCATAGTGATGGGAAGGCAAGAATGGGGGTTTATCCACACTTCTGTTCGCCCCACTGCTTTCCCCCAAGTAAACCCGTGGCTTAGCACTGAATCGGAACAAATGGCAATCCGGTTTTCTGCAGATTGCCATTTGTTCTGGTTTAGCACTAAAGAGCAGGTTTCCAGGGGAAAGGCAGAATTGTTCAGACCCATGCCTAGTAAGCGTGGGGCAAGTGGGAAACCTATTGGACTTCTGCTGTCTAGGACGAGTGTGCACGAGCTCTCAATTTTCAAAAATATGTGGGGCTTTGGATGTCTTTCCCCCCATACTAAACTGCTGGATGAAGAGAACATAAGCAGAGCCCGGCATCCTGTTCTCTCACTGGTCAACCAGATCCCTGTGGGAAACCAGCAAAGCAGGATTTGAGCACAAGAGCGCTCTCCCCTCCTGTGGTTTCCAACAGCTGGTATTCAGAAGCATTGCTGATTCATAAGTAAAACAGCAGCAGTGGACTAGGGAAGGGCTGTAGCTCAGAGATGCATGTAGAAGCTCCCAGGTTCGGCTTCTGGCATTTCCAGGTACAGCTAGGAGACTCTTGTTGGAAACCATGGGCAGCTTCTGCCAGTCAATGTAGACAATTGAGACCTAGGCTGGCCAAGTGTTTGACTCACTATAAAGCAGATTCCTGTGTCCTATGTACAGTGGTACCTCAGGTTACAGATGCTTCAGGTTACAGATGCTTCAGGTTACAGACTCCGCTCACCCAGAAATAGTACCTCGGGTTAAGAACTTTGCTTCAGGATGAGAACAGAAATCGGGCGGCGGCAGCAGGAGGCTCCATTAGCTAAAGTGGTGCTTCGGGTTAAGAACAGTTTCAGGTTAAGAATGGACTTCCGGAAAGAATTAAGTACATAACCAGAGGTGCCACTGTATTAATTGTTGAAAAAGCAACCACTGCTTCTTATATGTAATGAAAGGGAAACACCCTCATAATCTTAACTTTTTTCATTAGGCTTTCTATTTAACTGTGAGTGAGTGGCCTGGTTCTCACATAGCGCCGAGCCAAAACCTTGCGGTGAAAAATCACAGATTATTTGCTCCTCACCAATCCAGTTGCTGTTGTGCTTCTTGGAGCTAAGCCATGGTTTGGCTTCGTGTTATGTGTGAAGCCAGGCTCATGGTCTGCCTTGGTCCAAACAAACTATGAGCTGTAGCCAAGGGCCAATGACAATCCAGGCTAATAGGCGCAACAATTCCTGATTAGCTGAAGTCAGTAAAAGTTAATTTTCAAACCAAGTTGGCACCTGAGGGGCTGGTATTCTGAGTGGTTCAGGTCTCAAAGCACTGGCCACAATATCTGGATTCAATCCATTCTCTTGTGGGTGCAATCAATAATTGAAAGAGCAATTTAGTATATGCAAATCTAATGAAAGCTGCACTGTCCAGTTCAAAATATATGAACCACCTGACAAAGGAGGCACTTTCGCTTCCCCAGTCAGACTGGTTCTCCCTTGTAAGCAAGTGTTTCAGTGGCCTCTAGTGATCATAATGGAAACTGCAGAGTATCACAAGGGTCCAGAATGAACATGAGATTAAACGGTCTGGTTTGAATGGTGGAACAGGGCCTCCTTTCTAGATCTTACTTGGCTGGAGGCTTCATATGGGATTGATTGAGCTGCTAGAGTATCAACCTTAATCTAATTTGTGTCTCTCAAATTCACAGCAAATGTGAATCTTGCATAGTTCAAGAGGGCTGTTAGTCTAGCCATCCTGAAATAGATTTGAGTAGTTTGGAACAAAACAACATGAATGAGATAATCAAATTTATTTTTATTTGTGGCATACATTTGAGTACCGCCAGAAAAAAGCACTGCAGTTGTGGAAAGAAAACAAACTGTAAACTGCTACAACTGTTGTTAAAGCAATTGTTGGAAACTCCCTGGCTCCTAGTGCTTGAAGCTCCCTTTTTTCTAACATATGGAACTGGTAGCCAATAGGGAAAAGCAACATGTGTATGTTGTGTTTACAGAAATGAGACTTCTAAGGTTTAAATATGAGTAGAACAGAGAAGGCTAACTAAACTACTGTGACTGAGATTAGAAGCACTGGAACAACTTATCAGGGTCATGGATAGGAAGGACATCTGCAATCAAATGTCTGCATTGGATAAATTATTGTTTTTATTTATGACACTCCCCTGCTTTTATCGACTGGAGAGAGGTTTCTGCCACAATGGTGAAATTCCAAGAGGAGGCAGAGTGTAAGTGAGATGTGGCTAAAATATCTAAATAGAGGTGGGAGATAAACACCTGTAGGAATTCCTAAAGCAACAGTTAAGCCTGTTAAATATAAGGTTCTGGGACAGCACAGCTGTAACTTCCAAAAGCACCTTAAGGCTGCAATCCTATCTGAAAGCCCATGAACTTCAGAGTAAACTTGGATAGGACCAGGCTGCCTGAAACCAGAAGCTCTGTTAGTGGGGTCTGGTCTCATTTGATTTATTTGAAAAACCTACTTTCTCATGATCTTCCTTTCCTGAAACTAAAAGTTCTGGTTTTTTCTAAATTGTGTCCATTGTTTTTCTTGAGTTGCTGGTGGCATTTCTGTTTGCTTCTGTCCTGTGGAACTTGACACCTTGAAAAAGAGAAAAGAATAGATTGTCATTCCTCCACCTCCTTTGTCATTTAACTTGAAATTGGCTGACATGTTCCTGAAACATTCCTGAGATCAACAGTGAATGTGGATGAAATGTTTTGCTGAAACTGCATACCAATCCTGGGTATTCCCTGTCTAATTTCACTACCGCACAAGGCTGTCCTTTGATAATCTCCAAGAATTTCAAGGTGGGCAGAACTAAGAAGAACTGATCCCCTGGCAGACAGAGGTCCAGGTTCTTGTTTGACAGCTCCATGGTGTCCATCCAGGTGTGAGGGAAGTCCTTGTAACACCCAGTCCCACCAGCTGTGAGCTAGGAAGGGAGGCGAGACTCAAGCATGTTATCCAGAGCCTCAGAAAGCTGTCTCCTGTTTGGCAACAAATTGTGCCCATTTGACACAGAAACAGCCCTAAGCATGTGATATCTATAGTGACTATAGACTATAGTGATATCTGTCTGCTGGAAGTCCAAAGCATGCAATTCATGTAGCACATACTAAAATGAAGAATTGACTTTGAGCTAAAGGAGCCTTCAGCAGAAGCTGTGGGCAAAGTACCACAGGCTGTTTGAAAGGGCTCACACTTCATAAGTGGAAAGGCCGTGTATGCCTGCACTTTGCATCCAGTGCACTCCCACCACTGGTTTGTGAAGTTGTGTACCATGATGTTAGCAACAGTCCACACCTGCAACACCATTGAGGTTGGCATGAAGGTCTGGGGGGAAATGTATCATGGCTGAGTAATGTCTAATGAGCTAAAAATGTTTGGGCAGAAACCCAAACTCATACAAATCAACAATAAGGAGCCACTGTTACAATGTCATGTCCACATTGTTGCAGTTTATCCTACCAGTTCAATTGGTCTAGTTATCTCATCATCAGTCCCACTTGGGGAAAATAGCTACATCTCAAAAAAAACTGGCTATTTTTAGTTATCTCCCAATTGTAGCAGAGAATGACTGATAGATAAGAGAAATTTGCTTGTTGGTAAAACTGAAGTAACAAGTCTTCAGAACTCCTTCCCCCCCCCCCAAACTCCATAACAACCAGTACGCAATTTTGTGAGAGAAGGTAATATCCACTTACTCTGTTTCCTTGCATGTTCTGCAGCTTGGGGGGCTGTCAACATGGCAAAAGGATGCAGTGAGAGATTACAAGGATGAATTCGGTGGCCCTGCAGGTTAAATAAAGTCACCTTACTTTCGCCCCATAACTTGTGGCAGCAAATATGTGACTACAGTATTATAGGCCATCATTTACATACTGAGATTATTGGGAGAAACCAGAATGAAAATGTTTGGTATCAGAATACCAGTGGGTTATTGCAATTACTGTAATAAGCCCTAATTATTTATGATTCTAGTTCACCATTTCTGAATTTCCTCTTTGCAATATCTCATCAGGATTGATTTCCGCTGCTGCATTGCTCTTCTATTATTTTCTTTAGGCACTTAACAATGGAATCTTGTTAGGATTCAATTAACATGACACCTAACACCAGGATATATAGACTACGGGATCTTCTGAAATGTAGCCAATGTTATTTTCCTGCAGCCTATAGCTTAGCACAGAAACATTATTTGCACACTAGATGGCACCCTATAGTTGCTCCCAATGGACAGCTCCAAGAGCGATCCACTCATTGCTCTTCCACTTTAAGACTGGTAGGAAACATTTAAAAAAGTTATAGGTGGGGGTGGGGCGGGCGGATTGTGCACATTACTAAAATAATGTCAAGAAACATAGCAGGGGGTTAAATTTCATTTTGAAAATTAGTGTTGTAACACTTATTTAAGCACTTCTTGTTGTCATTCGTCTCGAGAGACAATGGAGTGCACCTCTGGGGGTGAAGTCAAAATGAAGTGACCTCCCTAGGGCGCAAGCCTGGGCAGTGTAGATGGAGGTTCTGGGCTGGCCAGACAACAAGACCCCCCACTTGGCCTCATTGTTGGGGTCCAAAGGAAAGCAGAGCAATACATTTGGCACCAGCTTCGCTGCAGGAATTGCTGGAAGGAGGGGGACACCCCCTTAGGGACTCCACTCCAGATTTGTGTAGGGTTCACTCCTTAGCCCTTTCTTCTCCTGAAGATATACCACAAGGCGGCAGAGGTTTAGGATCAGAGTTTCCCATCTCCTAGATGGGCTACCTTTCCAGCTTGACAAGCCTTTTGGACCATTGGACCCACCTTTGGTGTCATCTTCCCAGTCTGCCAAAGTCTGTCTTCACATGCAGGGGAAGTCCTTAACTTACTGAGCGTTTGAGACCCATTGGCTACCCTCACCTGGTTTAGCCGGCCAGTATATTGTGCAGAGGGACGCGGGTGGCGCTGTGGGTAAAAGCCTCAGCGCCTAGGGCTTGCCGATCGAAAGGTTGGTGGTTCGAATCCCCATGGCGGGGTGCGCTCCCATTGTTCGGTCCCAGCGCCTGCCAACCTAGCAGTTCGAAAGCACCCCCGGGTGCAAGTAGATAAATAGGGACCGCTTACCAGCGGGAAGGTAAACGGCGTTCCGTGTGCTGTGCTGGCTCGCCAGATGCAGCTTGTCACGCTGGCCACGTGACCCGGAAGTGTCTGCAAACAGCGCTGGCTCCCGGCCTCTTGAGTGAGATGGGCGCACAACCCTAGAGTCTGGCAAGACTGGCCCGTACGGGCAGGGGTACCTTTACCTTTACCTTATATTGTGCAGATATTTTAATATATTTTAAAATGTAGCTGGGAAGTGTTTCAGGTGAATAAAAAGGGTGATAATACTGAAGGTGTGCTGAATGGTTGTAGGGTTACCTGCCCAATACATCAAGACATATACACACTGATGTCAAAACCATGTCCATTGGGGGAAAGAGAGTAGCTGTAATAGCAACCCAGAGCTGCAGAGATTAGACTACTATTTATTTATTTTTTAAGTCAGTGCACATGCTCTGAATGCTTAGGTTTAATTCCCATCATCTCTACTTAAAGGATCTTAAGTAGTCAGGCTGCAAAAGATTATTCTGCCTGGGACCTTGGACAGCTGTTGCCAGCTGGGAGTAGATGGCAATAGGATAGTTGGACTAATAATCTCAGTACAACACAGGCTTACATGAATCAGATTGTGAAAAGAAATGATTGCAAAGAGTCCAATACTGAAAATCCAACTGAAAGAATGGAACATGCATTCTCCTGTATTATACAAGAGGGCTGAGCTGCTTATTTGGCCTCTGTTGCAGTCTTGCAGATAATATGGGAAGTATCTAGACCAGGGATGGGGAACCTGCGGCCCTTCAGGTGTTGGGACTTCCTATCAGCCACAGTCAGCATGCCCAGAGATGATGGGAGCTGTAATCCAACATATGATCTAGACACCTTTCATATGTGTGTCTAACTCAGCATCACATGTAAGGCTCCTAAGTGTTATGAATTAAAAAAAATTTAGAGGGCTGGGTTGGAAATACGATTGCAGTCTGGCAAGATTTTATAGATTTACAAAGGCAAGAAGGGCATCTTATTTTCTCAGTGACTTTCAGTAAAGCTGAGCCAGAGGACAAATGGTACTTCTCTACAGAACACTCACTGATATAATATTATTCTCCATATAGTGTCAAGCTGGTATCAAGCTTTTTGTAAAGAAAAAGAAAAAAATATTTTCATTGCTTTCCCCCTTTTCTGCATTTTAGCCTGGGGAATATATCATACTATGCAGGAGAGAGAAACACACAAAACATTCCCAGAAGATCAATTACACAAATATAAAAAGCTTTTATATATGCTTGTATACTAGTCTTACACAGACACTTTGTGGGTTTCTTCATGTCCCCCAGGAGCATAGAAAGATATAAACTAACTACTGTATTTTTCGCTCTATAAGACACACTTATTCCCTCCTAAAATGTAAGGGGAAATGTGTGTGCGTCTTATGGAGCGAATGCAAGCTGCACGGCTATCCTCGGGGAAAAGCCCGCAAGTGCCGCATATACACTCCTCGCGGCTCGTGAAAGGGAGCGCTGAGCAGAGCCTGGGATGCATACAGGCTCTGTTCAGCGCTCCCTTTAAAGATTTTTTTTTCTTTGCATTCCCCCTCTAAAAACTAGGTGCATCTTATGTTCAGGTGCGTCTTATGGAGCGAAAAATACGGTAATTAAAACTAACCAGAAAGCCCAACATGGCCAGTGTGGAACCCTAATAGCCAGTAAGATTTCAGGTAATTGGCCCCAAATTAATAAAGAATGATATTATGATTTCACTTACACATACATGCTTCACGCCACTTCGATATATGAAACAATGCAATATTATCAGTTTTATTTTTAGCTATACTTGTTGATGTTATATTAAAAGTTAATGATGTTTATATGTGCGTGTGTATCATTTAAGCCAGGGGTGTCCAAACTTTTTTCAAAGAGGGCCAGATTTGATGAAATGAACATGCATGAGGGCCAACCAAATTTATTGAGCATTTTTAGTTGTTGAACTTTTTGGGGGGATTTTACCCCAGAAAATAAACTGCCACAGGGGCCGGATTAGACTTTGGACATGCCTGATTTAAGCAGTGTGTGTGGCAACATCCGTAGGAATAAAAGATGCTGCCTTATATCATCAAGATTATAATTGTTCTTTGTGCCCACTACTGAATGCCAATGACTCTTTAGGGCAGAGAAGATAAACCTGTGGTCCTCCACATTTTCTTGTTTACAACCCCCATCACCCCGATCATTAGCCATGCTGTCTGGTGATGATGGGAGTTGTAGTACCAACCTGATCTTTCCTTTCCTTGTTTAAGCTAGAGGTGCCGGGGACTGAATTGAAGTTAACTGAAAAACAGCCATACTATAGGTAATTGCATTTGACTGCACTGATTCCTGAACTCCTTAATAGAAGCATGGGATAAACATGGGATTAAACTTATAATGCAGTATGAGTAGACTAATGCCCCCAGAAGGAAAGGAAGCCTGTTTGTCATATGGCCTAAAACTGGTAACAGATTAATAATGTGCATGTTACTTACTTTTAGGGACGCGGGTGGCGCTGTGGGTTAAACCACAGAGCCTAGGACTTGCCGATCAGAAGGTCGGCAGTTCGAATCCCCGCGACGGGGTGAGCTCCCATTGCTCGGTCCCTGCTCCTGCCAACCTAGCAGTTTGAAAGCACGTCAAAGTGCAAGTAGATAAATAGGTACCGCTCTGGCGGGAAGGTAAACGGCGTTTCCGTGCGCTACTCTGGTTCGCCAGAAGCGGCTTAGTCATGCTGGCCACATGACCTGGAAGCTGTATGCCGGCTCCCTCGGCCAATAAAGCGAGATGAGCGCCGCAACCCCAGAGTCGGCCACGACTGGACCTAATGGTCAGGGGTCCCTTTACCTTTTTAACTTACTTTTGTAGAACTCTGCCAGTGTGTTGCACAGGCTCCAGTGGTATAAATCCCAATGACATCTTCAACAGGAATGCTGTTCTGTAGAAACAGTGGTACAGTTCAGTTTTTGTTTTAAATATCTTTCTGCTTTTTATCTAAAACTAACTAAGGGCCCAGCAAATTTGTGAGGCAGGAGAAGCAGATGGATGGAAAACTCGTCCTTTCTCCAGTCCCACTGCCCACCTCAGGCAGAGTAAGGGCACTGATTGAAAGGCAATGCTTTGTTTTGCTCTACTCCAGTAAGAGTAAAAAAAAATAGAGAAAGGCAAAGTGCCAAAATAGAGGGCAAATTTTGCAACCCTCAATTTAATAAAAAACAGTAACTTGCCTGCAAGAAAAATACATATAAAAGAAAATTTAATTCATTGATAACATATTTTTCCTCTTTGGGACTCTTACACACAACCATTTCTATTAAAACAATCAGTATTTAAACAAAGGATTATACCATTAGCATCCCGGCATAAGATGATAAAATCATAGCTTCTCTTTCAATTCGGTTGGGATAAACATATCGTCGATGAAATGGTAGCTTCCTGTCCAGATGAAATCAAGAAAAAAGTAACAGGTAAATTTATCTAACAATTTATAAGTGATATGTACTGTGGTTTTCACACCTGCATGATGAAATTGTAGAGGAGGTTATCAAAGCCCAAATCTTTCCTAGGTTCAGGGGGCAGTGCTAACCTCAGCCACTGCCTGGTGGGCCTTAACGATGATCAGGGCAGAATGTGGAAGACAGGCAAATTGCTGCGCCAGCCTGGAGCTGTTGCAGCAATCACACCCAATCCTGTCACCTGACAGCAGCAGGGCTGACTTGGGATCCAATGGATCCAAAGGAATTTTGGATTGTTCTACCTGGGATCCCATTTAAGACTTTAAAAAAGCGTGACTGTTGAATTGTGATTTATGCTCCATAGTGTTTTGGAACCGTCAAGCTATAATGTTTCTGTTTGGAGCTCTGGAATAAGGACTGTTCATTCTGTTTTATAGATCTAGAGGATTGTGGAATACGGGGCAATCCCTTTAAAAAATATTTTCTCCCTTTGGCCTCCCGATCCCGTAAGGAGTATCTGGCAAACTATGTGATGCACAAGTTCAGAGTCCTGTAGATATGTGACTCAACACAATACAGGCCAGCTTCATGTACCAAGGATAATGTGGGGATAAATAAGATAACCCTTATAGGTTAACACAAACTCAAATTAATCTGCATTACCAACATTTGTGGGCATGTCTCCATTTAGATCAATAGAATCATAGAATCATAGAGTTGGAAGAGACCACAAGGGCCATCGAGTCCAACGCCCTGCCAAACAGGAAACACCATCAGAGCATTCCTGACATATGGTTGTCAAGCCTCTGCTTAAAGACCTCCAAAGAAGGAGACTCCACCACACTCCTTGGCAGCAAATTCCACTGTCGAACAGCTCTTACTGTCAGGAAGTTCTTCCTAATGTTTAGGTGAAATCTTCTTTCTTGTAGTTTGATCCATTGCTCCGTGTCCGCTTCTCTGGAGCAGCAGAAAACAACCTTTCTCCCTCCTCTATGTGACATTGTTTTATAAATTTGAACATGGCTATCATATCACCCCTTAACCTCCTCTTCTCCAGGCTAAACATGCCCAGCTCCCTTAGCCGTTCCTCATAAGGCATCGTTTCCAGGCCTTTGACCATTTTGGTTGCCCTCCTCTGGACACGTTCCAGTTTGTCAGTGTCCTTCTTGAACTGTGGTGCCCAGAACTGGACCCAGTACTCCAGGTGAGGTCTGACCAGAGCAGAATACAGTGGCACTATTACTTCCCTTGATCTAGATGCTATACTCCTATTGATGAGGCCCAGAATTGCATTGGCTTTTTTAGCTGCCGCGTCACACTGTTGGCTCATGTCAAGTTTGTGGTCAACCAAGACTCCTAGATCCTTTTCACATGTACTGCTCTCAAGCCAGGTGTCACCCATCTTGTATTTGTGCCTCTCATTTTTTTTTGCCCAAGTGCAATACTTTACATTTCTCCCTGTTAAAGTTCATCTTGTTTGTTTTTGCCCAGTTCTCTAATCTGTCAAGGTCGTTTTGAAGTGTGATCCTGTCCTCTGGGGTTAGGGTTAGAGTTAGGGTTCCTCCAGATTGGTGTTTTATTGTGGTGCATTTTGCAATATATTTTTGATACAGTAATAATGCATTGGTGCTGAATTTATCCTGCTTTGGTTTGTTCTGTAATGCCTCTCCATTGCCACCCCATTATTGCTGTTTGGATGGGCTATAGTGCAACAAAAGCGGAGTGTGAGAGGAATAAAAAGTTACAAGATTTCAGCAGAAAGTAACGGGATATGCACTGATTGGAAGCGAAGCAGTGTGACTACCCCAAAGCTTTTGCAGATGCAAACAGTACTGAGAGTGGAATTGCGTGTGACCACTCTGATAGCATCATGAGCACTATCAGCATGAATTTGCAAGAAAAAGACCATCTGGAGGGGCCCATAAATGTAAATTTTTAAATGGGTAGTGGATTAAACATAAAGCAATACCAGTGCAATTTTTCTAGAAAAAGAGGTGCCGGAACTCACCATGAACGCCTCTCTTATTCTCTTATAATAGCAATGTTGCCCACCTGAGAGGTACCGGAACTGGGTTCTGGTGAGTTGTTGCTGGAAAAGAAACCTGGCTCCAGCTTTCCTACGCATATTAACATAATCACTACAACAGTGAGACCTTACACTTGCCTTTTTTCTTTTCCCCAAGGCATTTGGGCTTCTGAATCATTGAGCCAAGGTAAAGCAACATTTATGGCCAGGTCATAGTGAGCCTAGAAGAGAAAAAAAGTTTGTGTGTGATGTCAAACTACATGATTTCTTTGCACAACAGCTTAGTGCAACTCAAATGTGTTACATGTGTGATGCTGACCCACAGGGTTTGTATTGATTTGGTCTACTTTTGGATTGCTTTGACCACCTGCTCTTGAAAAGAGAACTTAGCACAGCTCAAACATGTGTGCTGTTGACTCACAGGGTCTGTGTTATCTTTGGTTACGTTACATAGTCTATCCTGCAAATAGAGTTCCCAATAAGCAGCACTGGTTGCTGCATTGATTCAGTGCATTTGTGCAAAAGCTGAAAGTGTCCCGATTTTCCAGGGACAGCCCCTAAATTATGAAAGTCATCCCAGCGAGTGGTATGTCGGAGCAGAACTGAAAAGGCGGGTGGGGGGGAGCTTTTCTTTTTTTTATCTTATGTGAGTACCCAATAACCCTCCCCCCAAGAAAGAACCGTTGCAATTACTGATTACAAGCAGGATGATTAAGAACTGTGTGGAAATAACTTACTAATCAAAGGCATGGCGTGTGGGAACATCGGGAAAGGAATGGAAGCTCTTTGTGACGCAGTCATAAAAAGAGAATTGTTATGGCAGGCCTGGCCACAGGATGATCGAGGGGGAGGAAGACCATGGTTTGTTATTATATCAGACTGTGAGTTTGACCTGGCAGGGCCCCCTGAGAAAATTGAGGAGAGATTGGCAGGCTTGTGGAAATTAACGGACAGACTTTGGGAATGTTTTGTGTGGAGGTGCGGAAATGGCGTCTGTCTATCTTGATATGGCTCTTGGAGGAGTGTAAAATCCACACAGGATATAACGACGTTTGTTTTCAACCCGCTTGTGGAGACTACCAGAGATCACAAAGAGGAATATATGATAACAACAAGAAGATGAGGAAAATGACAAAGAGAAGATTGAACAGAACTGTGAATAATATTTGGACAGAACACGTGTACATTAAAGCAGAAGCAAGAGAGATGTTTGGATCCCTTTCTGAGCTCGAAACATGGGCACCCCCAACAAAAATTTGGCTGTGTAATTTGGAATTAATGTGATTTGATTGGCCTGTTAATAAAAATTATTTGGGGAAAAAAATAAAGAAAGTCATCCCAGCTTCTGATTTGATCCTGAAATGTCCTGATTTCCCCAGCCAGTGCTGCTGCTGCTGAGCTCAGAGAGGAGGATGAGCTTGTGTTTGTCCTGGGCGACTGAAGCGGCGGCAGTGGCGGAGCATCCTGTTGTCTCTCCATGGCTGCCGCTGCTGGCCTACTCCCCTCGGAGCAGAATTCCCTCAAAGACTTCTTTGAGGGAAAGAATGTGTTTCGAATATGTTTTAAGGGTAAAGTGTGCATGCAGCCAAAGCTGCAGTGTGCCATGAAAGTATTTGCTTCCTGTACTCCCGACTCACTTCTGAATGGAAGATGCCACTTTTTGGCATGCTACAATTAAATGGCCACCTCTACTGGTGGATGTGTCCAATGAGCATGTCTGCCAGCAGCACAGAGCTGACACAATGAGACAAAGGGCAAGGAAATTTCATCCTTTATACATCATTCCTTAGTGGGGGAATGAAGTTTGTCTGATTGATAAAGACATTAGAGTTGTTGTTGTTGTTGATTTCATTTCTAAACCGCTTTATATTTTTAAGAAAAATCTCAAAGCTGTTTACAGAATATTAAAACATCAATAAAACAATCTGAAGGAAGTCAAATATAAAGTATACAGTCAAAGCAACATAATTAACAGAAAACTAAAACTAAAATGATATCTTAAAGATTTCAAAATAAAACATTACAAAGGAGGACTACAGAATACATATTTAACACAAAGTTAACAAAAAAAAAACTTAAACATTTCAAAAAAACAAAACACATTGCTAAGTGAAGTCAAATACAAAATGCACATTTAAAACAGGATAATTAACAAGAGAATAAAATATTATCATAGTTATTATGCATCACCTGGATTCTCCTTATTGCTTTATACTGAGTCAGTCAATTTCTAGCTCAAGATTGTCTACACCGAATGACTGTCTACATTGCCCTTCCATACTGCCAGGCAGGGAGCACTCCCAGTCCTACCTAGAGATGTCAGGGATTTAACCTGTGAGTGTCTGCATGCAAAACAGTTGCTGTACTACTGAACTGCAGCCTTTCCCAAAGGGCTTTGGCTAAAAGCCAGCAAGAATGTAAAGTAGTTGCTTACCAAGTCATCTAGAAAGGTAGTCTTCCTCTTTCCTTGTGGGTCAAATTCATTTTCTCGAAGTCTGACACCAACATAATCTCCCCTTCCAGGAAAAGAATAATTTTGAATTAGGACCAATGCTCAGCCACTCAGTGCATTATTATTTGTGTGCGCTGGGCTGGGAGAGGAAAGTGTGAGTTGCTATGCACATTGGGTATAAAATGCAGCTATTGGATGTGAATCTACTTTAAAGTACAGTATATATATATAAAAAAAAGATAGAAGGAGGTACTTACAAGAGTTTTTCAATCTCTTGTTTCAAACGTTTTCTCTCCATTACTTTGTGAGTTCTTTCTCCACGTGCCAGTTGCAAAGGTCCAGTTAGGTAAGAACTATGTACAGTGACAGAACATAAGACATTAAGGATAGGTAAGTCAATAAAGGAAAATTAGAAGGTCATGAGATTGTAAACTTCTCAGGGCATGTATTACAAGTTTTGCTCCTGTTAGCAATTTCAAGATACACAGCCAACTGTAGGCAGACCTGCCAGCTTCCCTGATTAGAGGCTACTAATAGGAGCCCCTATCCTCCTCCTATGGGACGCGGGTGGTGCTGTGGGTTAAACCACAGAGCCTAGGGCTTGCCCATCAGAAGGTCGGTGGTTCAAATCCCCGCGATGGGGTGAGTTCCCATTACTCTGTCCCAGCTCCTGCCAAGCTAGCAGTTCGAAAGCACATCAAAGTGCAAGTAGATAAACAGGTACCGCTCTGGCGGGAAGGTAAACGGCGTTTCCATGCGCTGCTCTGGTTTGCCCGAAGTGGCTTAGTCATGCTGGCCACATGACCTGGAAGCTGTACGCCGGCTCCCTCGGCCCATAAAGCGAGATTAGCGCCGCAACCCCAGAGTCATCCACAACTGGACCTAATGGTCAGGGGTCCCTTTACCTTTTATCCTCCTCCTGGCATTGCCCATAATGTTACTCAGGTCTAGCAGCAGCTGCAGCATTCTTCACAAAGTTAACAGCTGCATGCTATGCAACACACAAAGAATTTGCACCTTGGCAACCCACTATTCCCTGTACACACCTTCCTCCAGGATCCAATAATATGAAAATCTTCCACTGTGCAGTGATACCTCAGGTTAAGTACTTAATTTTTTCCGGAGGTCCGTACTTAACCTGAAACTGTTCTTAACCTGATGCACCACTTTACCTAATGGGGCCTCCTGCTGCTGCTGCTGCTGCGCCGCCGGAGCCCAATTTCTGTTCTCATCCTGATGCAAAGTTCTTAACCTGAAGCACTATTTCTGGGTTGGCGGAGTATGTAACCTGAAGTGTATGTAACCTGAAGCGTATGTAACCCGAGGTACCACTGTATATTAATGGTACATTTCCCTACTATACATGCACATGTATAAGGATAAGAAACCACAGAAAAAATAGAGGTAATATATTCCGGTGGTGATATTTCACTGTAAATACTGGTATCAATGAATTCTATTAACAACAAAAACCCATCCACAGATCCCCATAACTGAAACATTAATGTGTAACATACTTGTAAACCGTATTTTAAACATATCTGATGTGTGAAAGATAGATAATTATTTTGTGAGCAACTGTTGAGTTATTCTTATTGCTTCTTCTCAAAGATCCTAATTTCTTTTCTAAGAGCCTAAATTGGCATGGTAAGGTCTACACATTCTGTTCTAATGAAAGCAAAATTGCATGCTACCTTCTGTCCATTTAGCAGTGAGATAAATGAAATGACTGTCAGCTGTGAAAAGAATGCAACATCTTAAATAGCATCTTAAAGATGATACAGTGTGGTACTTCTACATAAATGGATGAAAAATAAGCCATTACCTCTTCCCACGCAATGGTTATTAAAAAGATTCAGATTCTGGATTCCGTTGACTTGGTATCATTAGAAAAGCCTTCTGCCCAGATGATGTTATTCTCTTCTTGCTTGCCCTGCTGAGCCTTAACAGAAATGAAAGCCTTGCTCAGGGAAAGCAAGAGAATGAACCACTTGTCTGTTGCTTAGAAACACAATATTGCTGAACTGAATTTTTAAGAAAAAGAATACAGTACTAGCAAGCAGCTCCCCGTTGGGCTGAGCTGCTGGGCCAGAGTGCAAGAGATCCTTTTACATGCCAAGGCATTGGATTTCAAAGCTAAATGTTTTATCTGAAACACTGATAGCTGGTTGATAAATGAGAACTGGTCCCTCTTCTGCCATGGACCTTACTGGATGTTAACAGTTTGCGTCAACAATCACTTGCATCAAAAGAATTGACATGTTCCTAGGGACACTTGAAGTCTAATCCTGTGTGGATTGAAGCACACCTTAGGACATTGAAATCAAATGGATGTTAAGTGTGTTTAATTTAATGCAGCGCTCAACTCAACAGTATTTGTTGCATGACACCCCAATCTCTGAGTGGTGCAAGATTCCAGGGGTTCCAGGGGTTTACCCAGGGTTTGTTTTTTCTCAGAATGAGGGACAGCGGAGACTGTGGTGTCTTTATGATATATGGTTTATTACACATATATACAACCTGAGCCCACGATGGAGGGGTTCACACCATTAACACCCCAAAAAGGTCTTGCTTCTCCCATAGCCACAGCCTTGGATTCAAGCAGAAATCAGGCATTCTGTCTTTCTGGCTTCCCAACCTGCCACTTTACTCCCAGCTTCTAGCTCACATAACTCAATTCTCCACTCTGGCACAGAGCAACTTCCTTTATTACCTTAATGACCCATACTCAGGCCACTACCTCACCAGGAAGCTAGCCTGTCTTATTTCAAGAACTCGAATCACTTGCTGGATCCAGGAATTAGAAGGGGCCCTTGCATACAAGCCTACCCCTGCTGCACAAACTCCTAACAGTATTATACAGAATATAAATGTCATGCTCCGGTTCACGGGCGATCAAAGTCCCGGCAGGGGACATGAGGACCGGGGGGAAGATGGCGGGGTGGGAGCAGGAACGGGAGTCCAGAAGCCAGGAGTCAGAAGCCAAGAGTCTGAGGGTCAGGAATCAAGGAGTCAAGAAGCCAAGGGTCCGAGGGCCAGGAAGCAGGGAGTCAAGAAATCAAGGGTCCGAGGATCAAGAAGCAGGGAGTCAAGAAGCCGAGGTTCAAGGATCAGGAAGCAAGAAGCCAAAGGCAGGAAGTGTGCTGCTGTGGCAAAGAGCTGAAGGGAAATGCTGACCTTATATCTCTTCCCAGCTCTTGCCACCAGGTGCTATGAGTTACCAATCAGCCTCACCTGTGAGGCCGTGCCTTGCCTCTTCAGAACAAACTTAGGAAGGCCCCAGTCCTGCAAAGTCCTGCTGGTCACAGGGCCTGGCTCCTGCACACGCACCTGACAATGGGGGAAGGTAGGGCGCTTCTCAGATTCCCTTAAAAAATAATAATTAAACATGCATATCATAATATAATATAATATAATATAATATAATATAATATAATATAATATAATATAATATAATAGTATATTCCAGCATATCAGGATGGGTGTGGTATTATTATTATTATTATTATTATTATCATCATCATCATTATTACAGCTAGCTATACCCTGGGAACCAGTTGGTTAGAGACACTCAATCAACTGTTACCATCTTAAGAGTCCACATAAATCTTGTGGGGCTATTGATTTGTTTTCGGTTCCGTTCTTTTTTTTTGCTACGTATTTTGCCACCAGGTGCTGTGAGTTACCAATCGGTCTCACCTGTGGGACCGCACCTTGTCTCTTCAGAACAACCTTAGGAAGGCCCCAGGCCTGCAGAGTCCTATTGGTCACAGGGCCCGGCTCCTGCACGCACCCCTGACAATGAAGACCAATTGCGATTTTTGTGTGTGTGAATGCAGATGCAAAAAATTGTTGAAATGTGTGACAGCTGCTACAAACTGACTAACGCTGCACTCTCTCCATCAAACAGTGGGGTTTGATCAAACGTGCATGGGATTGCGCCTTTAGAACATGAGCTGCTGCAGAAGTCCGCAGTGCTATTAAAAGTAAAGGTGGGACGCAAAGATCAAGGCTTTCTGGGAAATGATCTATAATGAATTGAAAAAGGTACTTAGGTACACTTTCCCTAAGAAACCAGAGGCCTTCCTCTTGGGCATAGTTGGCCAATTGGTGTTAAAGAAGGACAGAACATTTTTTATGTATGCCACAACAGCAGCAAGAATACTCATCGCAAAGTATTGGAAGACGCAAGAACTACCCACCGTGGAAGAATGGCAACTGAAGGTGATAGACTACATGGGACTGGCAGAGATGACGAGCAGAATCCGGGACCAGGGAAGAGATACGGCGCAAGAAGATTGGGAAAAATTTAAAGAGTATCTAAAGAAATACTGTAAAATTAATGAATGTTAGAATGACGCTGGATTAAAAAATAAGGGGTTAACAGCGGTAAGGGATAACTTAAAGAAAATAAATAATATTAAAATTAAGTTAAAAGGGAAGGATTTGCTGATAATCTAATCAGAAATTAGAATACAGAAAGGGAAGGTATGGGGAAGTCGGGAAAGTAAGTTATAAGAAAGTAAAAATTGAATTTATACGTGTTTTATGTTTGTATTCCTTACTATGTCTTTTTTGTTTGTTATTGTGTTTTGTTGGTTTGTTAAAACTTCAATAAAAATTTAATTAAAAAAAAAAAGTAAAGGTGGGACAATTTGCACGTTTTCCTGCAATCTTGGCGCACTTTTTGTCGATCTGAACTACTAGGCCGCCCAGCCCTGACGCCACCAGCATCTCTGCTGGGTTTGGCCCAGTGCTTTTTTCCTGGGGGGACGCAGGGGTACCCCTAAACATTTTGTGAATCTAAGTTTGCCTCATTGAGGGGCAGTATTTCAACATGAGTAGGAAAATGAGAGTACCTCAAACATTATTTTTTTTAGAAAAAAAGCACTGGTTTGGCCCAAGACATTTTGGCACCTGAGGTAAACCACACAATGGCATTCTCTTGGTCCTCGCCAGGGAAAAGGCGGCGAGCGAAGACCAGGAACAAGGGAAGAAAGTAGAGGTCTACTTTGAGGTCTGCTGCCCCTGTGAATGCTGCCGCCTCACCTCGCCTCACGGGCAGGCCGGCCCTCATCTCTGGGCAGAAGCTGCGCGGGTTTCCATGGCGACGCAGCCCGCTCACCTCAAAGGGAGCTAGGCCTCGCCCTTCCCTCACACGCGGGAGGAGGCAAGCAGGCCAAAGGGCTGCCGGGGGAACAGAGCGGCCGCGCAGAGCGGCTCTGAAGAGCCCACAAACAACAACAACAACAACACGTTTTTATTTATTTTGTTCCTTTTTAAAATTTAGGACAGGAAACGCCTCAGCCCCTCAAGGAATTCTGGGCGCTGTAGTTCTTGGAAGGTGAAGGGGGCGGAGTCAACGCCGCGGCTGACGGAAGGGCCAATCCCGTCGCTTGGAGCGGATCACATGATAAAGTCCAAACCCAAACGCGGTTTTTGCTTATAGAGTGTTGCAGAGGAATTAGCAGAAAGGAGAGGCGAGAGGGAGAGCGAGGGCGGACTTTCTTTATCCAGGGCACTAAGGGGTTCGGGAACCCCCTAGCACATCTTTGTTGCTCTTGTTGTTTTCTTTCAAAATGAAGTACTAACTACTGGCCCGCTTTTTGGAGGAGGCTGAGGCCGCTTGGAGGATTGAACTGGGCTGCCTGAGGGAGGGTTCTTTCATTTTTTGAATGAAAGCGGTAAGTATGTTTTCCTTGTAATTTAATGATTATGATTCGGGGGCGGGGGGGGGGGAATGTATATATCTGCATGTACAACACTGTCACCTTAGCCCTAAGTCCTTTTCTTCCTCAGCCATGTTTCTTTTGCTTAATTCTGTTTAAAAATGTACTTATTATAAGGAAGACACAAGATTTGCCCACTCTGGAAGAATGGCAGATGCAAGTGATAGACTATATGGAATTGGCAGAAATGACTGGCAGAATCTGAGACCTGCGAGAAGAGCTAGTGGAAGAGGACTGGAAGAAATTTAAGGATTACCTGCAAAAGCATTGCAAATTGTATGAATGTTAAAATGATGCAGGATACAAAGATAATATGGCATTAGTGACATAGTGGAAAGGAATATGTAAAAAATGTTTTAGAAGAATAAGGGTGGAAAAGTTAGAATAATATTATGTCAAATTTAAACAAATTGATATAAAGGGAAAAATTGGAGACATAATAGTTGAAATGTATATTACAGAATAAGATTTGAAAGAGGGTAAGGTACTGCTGAATATGATTGTGTAAAAGGGAACACTGTAAAGGGAGATGTGAGGGAGTCTGGAAGGAGGGTTATGAAAACAAGAAGTAAGAAATCGGACTTTTATGTTTTTTTCTTATGTCTTTTTTTTCTTTGTTCTTGTCTATTTTTCTATGTTTTTTACTGTATTTTTTATTTTTACTTGATTATGATAATGTTTTTCTCTTTTCTTGTTTTGAGTGTGGAGTTTGTTCTATTGTTTAAAACTTTAATAAATATCTTTAAAAAAATAAAATAAAAATGCACTTATTATTTATTAAACGTATGGGGCAACCTTCACCCGAAGACCCCGAAGGGCAGTTCACGACAGAAAAATACAGGGGATACAAAACACATAAAACAGAAACAAGCCAGTAACCCCCCTCGCACAAACACATTTCAAAAGCCGAATGCCTGGTTGAAGGGAAACATTTTTACCTGTCACATAAAGATATGTGGTTTGGGAGCTGCACGGTCAGGGAAGAAAACAGTGCTGTCCAGGCTTGTAAAGATGGCGGAGAGAATAATTGGGTGCACTCTTCCCACCTTGGATCAAATCTATGCTTCCAGGTACCATAAGAAAGCTGCAGAGATAGCGCAGGATAGTGCGCACCCCGGAAATGACCTCTTTCAGCTTCTGCCTTCTGGAAGAAGGTACAGGGTTATAAAGACTAGGACTAGCTGCCTGAGAAACAGTTTCTGTCCAAATGTGATTTTGGTTTTTAACGCAGTGTAAGGAGTCTCTGGGGGACGCGGGTGGCGCTGTGGGTTAAACCACAGAGCCTAGAACTTGCCGATCAGAAGGTCAGCGGTTCGAATCCCCGCGATGGGGTGAGCTCCCGTTGCTTGGTCCCTGCTCCTGGCCAACAAAGCAGTTCGAAAGCACGTTAAAGTGCAAGTAGATAAATAGGTACTGCTCCGGCGGGAAGGTAAACAGCGTTTCCGTGCACTGCTCTGGTTCGCCAGAAGCGGCTTAGTCATGCTGGCCACCTGACCCAGAAGCTGTACGCCGGCTCCCTCGGCCAATAAAGCGAGATGAGCGCTGCAACCCCAGAGTCGGTCACGACTGGACCTAATGGTCAGGGGTCCCTTTACCCTTACCTTTTAAGGAGTCTCTATAGGAGTGTATTGCATTTTTAAAACGGGGTATCAGAGTTTTTAGTGGGCTAACCAGGCTGGGATAGCTGGGATAGCAGACTTGTTGGTTTTGAATGTCTTATGTAGATTTTTTTTTTTCAATTTCGTTGTTCCGTATGGGACAATGACAATAAAGATTATCGTATTGTATCATAACTTGTTTCACAGTAAGCATATACACTGGGCTGCAAAAGTATTCTGTCTCGGCAGTGGTTTGCAAATGCGTGAACAAATTGCTTGATTTCTCTACACTTCAGTCTGGTATATGCAATGCAACAATGTGGTAGAGCAGAGGAAGTCCCTTCAGACTCCAAAGGGGCCTGGAGTATAAGTCAGTGCAAACATAAAAGCAATATAATGATGGTAGAGTGTTTTGCAAATATAAAGGATGATAATGGCAGCCTTTTCTTTTTCTGAACAACTGGCAGGACTGCCTGAAAAATGTCACTTCAGGCACTTGAAGAAACATCCATTTCCTTCACAAGTGAAGTCAGGGAACGGATGAAGGAAAAGAAAAATGGTTCATTGAAGACGGCAAAGCTGAATGCTTCTCTTGCATCAAAGATCAAAACAAAAACAATAAGTAAGTGGCAGTATTTAAAAATAATTTGCTATGCTTGAGCTCTGGCGCTTCACTGGAGACCTGGACTATTCTATTGGGGTGAGTTATAAGACAAGAGTTGCTGACCTTTTACAGCCTAAGTGAATGTGACTAAAGTGGTCATCAAACTCATGCATACATACTGCACTTACACACAGAATCATAGAATTGTAGAGAGTCTAGTCCAACCCCCTGCAATTCAGGAATCTCAGCTAAAGCATCCATGATAGATGGCAATCCAACTCCTGCTGAAAAAACCTGCAACAGGTTGGCACTCTCTCTCTCTCTCTCTCTCTCTCACACACACACACACAAAAAAAAAAAAACCACAGGCGCACACTCATCCCTGTCAGCAATGGGCTGAGGTGAGAGGTTTAAATCCATCACATGGCTGGGCTATGGGGCGATTTCCCCACCACAGAGCTGAGCTTACATGCTGGAAAGGTTTAATCTTCAACCGCAAGCACAGCCAATATAGGGCATTATCAGAACAAAAGCCTTATAGGACCTACCGTATTTTTTGCTCTATAAGACTCACTTTTTCCCCTCCTAAAAAGTAAGGGGAAATGTGTGTGCGTCTTATGGAGCGAATGCAGGCTGCACAGCTATCCCAGAAGCCAGAATAGCAAGAGGGATTGCTGCTTTCACTGCACAGCGATCCTCTTGCTGTTCTGGCTTCTGAGATTCAGAATATTTTTTTTCTTGTTTTCCTCCTCCAAAAGCTAGGTGCATCTTGTGGTCTGGTGTGTCTTACAGAGCGAAAATACGGTATTTCCCCCCACCTGTTCTGCACAGCAAAACCACAGATGGTGCAGCTTGAGTTGGTTATACAGATGGAGTGCTGTGTATTTGCATGAGTCTGGTTTAGGGAATGCCAGCCTTGATGTTGCTGCATATCCCTGCAATGTGGAGAAACACTAGGTTTCTGTAAATGGAGGGAGGAGAGAGAAGATGATAACCCAGCTGTTAGCAGGATTGGGGAAGATTTGACCACTCAAGAAAAATGGCACAGGAAGTGATTTATAAGTATCACCACTGGCCTTAGCTGTGTTTTCAGTCCCAGTGCAGTGGCATTTGACAGTATGATTTATGGCACAGGTCTTATGACTCTAAACAGCAGCATAATATTAGTGATTGAAACTGCATTTGTTCAACCTTGCCAAGCCACTGCTGATTGCCCAGGGGGAGACCAGTAAGAATTTGCTTCATAATACACAGCATAAGTCTGTGGTAGGGTACACAGGTTTCCTATGTTGATTGGAGTTCACCTACCAATTTTGGCTGCCGACTTCTTGTCATGATAAGGCAAAATTTTGGAAAGGGTTGGCCAGTAAAGCTAACAAAAACCACCCGTTTTCTCTCTCTCCCTCTTTTGAAAAATACAGATAACTCCTCTATAATTAAGTTCTCCCTAAAACAGAACAACAAAGCGTTGGCTTTAGCTCTCAATGGTGCAAAGGGAGCTAGTCAAAGACTAACTGCTGAAAAGATGCTACTGCAAAAAGAAGTGGAGTCATGTCACTTTGAAAATGCCTCACTGCGCCGAAAGCTTTTCTCTGTGGTACAGTATTTGCAGCCATGTTATTTGTCTCTGTGGTAACTGGAACCTTTTTCTTCAATGGTGCTTAAACCAGGGGTGAAACTAGGCTTTATTTTACCCGGGTCAAAGACCCAGTTTGGCACACGCACGCACCCCCCCCCCCATTAGCATTTTGGAAGGGTGTAACGAGGAATTGGGTGTCTTGAGTCACAGAAGGCTGGATTAGGGAACCTTTGTCATGGGGATACACACATTGACATGGCATACCCTACAAATACTTGATAAGGTCCATGAGAACCAAAGTCATAAGAAACAAGAAAGGCAACTGTGGAGAAACAAATTTTGTTAAATTTTGGAAGCTCTTGTTACTAATTTATGGATTAAGATTCATGGATTAATTAATAGATCATACATACTTTACAACACAGAGATAAAATCATATTTAAAACTATAAAAGAACCTATGGGGAAATTATTAGGAATGTTATTTATGTTAATTTGTATACTGCCCCTCTTCCAAAGATCTCAGGGCAGTTCACAGCATTAAAATTCAAAATGAAAACACAGAATGCATAATAAAAAGAAGAACATTATTCTAATTGCTTCTTTGAAAATACTGTAAAGAGTCTTTAACTTAAGCTTTCCAATGCTTATTAGGCCTGGTTTGCTTGTTTTTTTTATTTAAACTCGATCGGTTTAAAAATGTTAACCTTTTTGTTTGTGTGCAGAACAAATCTATTCACGAACTGCACCAATATATGAACAGCCACTTGCAAATAGCAATCAAGCTGAGCAGGCCTCAGGATGAAGAGGAAGGCACTGCATTGGCACCTGATCGGGACCCGCCTTTTGGTGGTATAACAGAGCTTTTATCATATAATTACTTTTACTTTGGCTGTATGCGGCAGATATCTGGCAGGCAACCCCAATAACCTTCAAACATCTCTTGAAAACCTTTTTATATGCTGACAAATGTATTTGTTGAATTTCTTTTTAGGTGAGCCACTCATTCTTGTGATGATTCTACATTGTTTTACGATTTTTATTTTGTGCACCTCCTTGATATATTATGTGAGTGGGCGGGATATAAATACAGTGGTGCCTCGCAAGACGAAATTAATTCGTTCCGCAAGTCTCTTCGTCTTGCGAGTTTTTCGTCTTGCGATGCACGGTTTCCCATAGGAATGCATTGAAAATCAATTAATGCGTTCCTAGGGAAACCGCCTTCAGACCAGGTCCGGGGACAGTCTGTCCCCGGACCTCTTCTGAAGGCTGGGGGGGGACGACAAGGGCTTTTCTTCCCACCCCCAGCATTTTAAAAAACCCCGGGACAGCGGAGGACTTCTCCGCTGTCCGGGCGATCTTAAAATGCTGGCGGGCGGCATTTTAAAATTGCCCGGGACAGCGGAGGACTTCTCCGCTGTCCGGGGCGATTTAAAAGCCCCTGGGAAGGCAGGCAGGGGGGACAAAGACTTTCGCCCCCCGCCCGCCTTCAGAAGGTGTTCCCGTCCCCCGCCCCGCTTCGGAACAGCGTTATGAAGCGGGGCGGCTGGGGCAGGTGTTCCCGCCCCCCGCCCCGCTTCGGAACAGCGTTATGAAGCGGGGCGGCTGGGGCAGGCGTTCGCTGCCGACCCCCAGCATTTTAAAATCTCCCCGTGTCCCGGGGAGATTTTAAAATGCTGGGGGTCGGGAGCGAAATGCTGGGGGTCGGGAGCGAACGCTTTGCTCCCGACCCCCAGCATTTTAAAATCTCCCCGGGACAGCAGAGACTTCTCTGCTGTCCCGGGAAGATTTTAAAATGCTGTGGGTCGGCAGCGAACGCTTCGCTCCCGCCCGCCAGCATTTTAAGATCGCCCGGGGCAGGCGGGGGGAAGGCAGGCGGGGGGGGGAAGCAAAGACTTTTGCCCCCCGCCGGCCTTCAGAAGAGGTCCTCTTCTGAAGGCCGGCTGTGGGCGAAAGTCTTTGCTCCCGACCGCCAGCATTTCCCTATGGGCTTTCGTCTTGCGAAGCAAGCCCATAGGGAAATTCGTCTTGCGAAGCGCCTCCAAAACAGAAAACCCTTTCGTCTTGCGGGTTTTCCGTCTTGCGAGGCTTTCGTCTTGCGGGGTACCACTGTACTTCCATAAATTAAACATAGCACCCTCTGTATGAGTGAGAGACACATGTTAACTGGAAAGCCATATGCTTGGGACGGCCACATCTGTGTTCTTGGGAGTAAGCCTACCCAGTGGGAATTACTTCTGAATAACCATGTATAAGATCAGGCTGCACATTTTATTCATTGCCTGAGCTTATGTGGCGCAGAGGTTGTCTCTTCCGTCTAACTACAGATGTGGTACAGAATCATTTGAGGACTATTTCCAGTTACTCCTGGCTTAACCTGACACTGGAACGTACTTTGCAGTGCAAGATGGGAATCTGCGTCTTATGTATTTATTTACTGTGCCGTTGGGTGCTGGCAGTATACCAGTCAGGAATGCACAATTCTGTTCCTTTTCAGTACTGGGCAATAGACAGGGACGCGGACTTATAAAAAATATTGGGGGGGCTCGGGAAAGCTCATGAATAATAAATAAGCTCATGAATATGCAAATAAAGTGGCGCCGCCTCCTCGTGAGCGAATAGGGGAGAGCGTGCTGCGCCTATTAATCAGCTCCAAAGGAAATTGGGTGGAGCTTTTGCTCGGGAGGGAGGGCAGGAGGCATGCAGCCCGCCCCTCCCTGTGCATTTTGGGCTGGGGGAGGGGCGGCGATGGCGCTCTGCTGGAGGGGCGCCGGAGATTATTGGGGGGGCAGAGCCCCCCCAAACGAATTTTTGAGGGGGCTCGGGCCCCCTCAAGCCCCATGGAGTCGGCGCCTATGGCAATAGGTTCAGTGTGCATCATGCTTCATTATTCTTTTACAGTCCTATGAGCATTTGGGGGAAGAAATAAGAGCCAAATCTCTATAACCTTGTCTTTAGGGTTTGTTTAGTCCCAAGTGATGGTCCTTAAGTTAAAGTCAGTTGTGGGCTGTGGATAAGGAATGGCAAGCAGATTTGGCCAAGAGTATATCGTGGAGGTCTGGATGGAACCCCACCTATTGCATCAGACTGTGAGTGTTACACTCAATGTAGGCACCCTTAAAAGGCATAGCTTTTAAGGCATGTCTTCAGTACCAAATGCCATTTTTCCTAAGCAGGCAAACTTTTTTTTTCTGATGAGGGCTGTGTTCCCACGAGGGAATTACATGTCAGCTGGCAGAAGATCTGAGTGGGGACAGAGTAGAAAGTAGGCAGGGCTGCTTCCCCCCTTTTCTCTTTCTGCTGCCACCTTCCTTCTTCTCACGCCCCCTTCATGCAATGGGAGCCACAGCTTGTTTTGCCTGAGGTTTGATCAGATTGCTTGCAGTGGGCTTTTGGAGTTAGGTCTAGAATCGTATAAAAGAATGCCTTGCTGTTTGACGTGTGCTTTAAAGAACAGCAAAGACTTCGTGCCCGATATAAGTGCCATTTGATGGTTACCACCAAAAAGCTTTTGTAATTACAGAATGGGCATAGATGTTAACACACACACACACGCACACACAATTGGAAACAATTTTATGCACGCTTATGTGGGTTAGAAAGCTGGCTTGTTGGAGCTAACTAGATTCACCACTAACTACAATTCCCGGTTCAGACAACATGGGAAGCCACTGAAAATGGAAACAAATTCTTCTGAACTCCTTGGTTGTGCGAGGGAAATGAAAAATGCATGAGTCCAGGAAGTGGCTAGGCTCATTTGCATACTAAACATTGCCATTGTTTAGTATAATGTCTGAATATTAATTGTGGGGCGTGACACACAATATGAAGTGGGGTTGGGGGGAGGGTTGTTGCTTTAAAGCCCTATTATTGGGCTTCCTGGAAGCATCTGCCTGGTCTCTGTTGGAAATGAGATGGACCTTTGGTTAGACTGAGAACTACTTTTCTTGCTTTCTTACTGCACAAGCTTAATGGAATGTTCATGGATTCTTTTTTAAAAAAAGCAAGTATGTGTTCACCTACTAAATTCAGCTATTTGTCATTGTAGGAAACCTTTTGAGAACACAACAATGTCCCAGGAGCGGCTTGCTGTCCGTCCTGAGTAACAGTTCACCTCTGCAGCACTGTGAGGTGACTACGGCACCACTCATTGGTAGCGTGTTGTTATCAGGTGGTCACGTGACTCAGAGGAAGAAACGCAGAATAAGCTCATCAGCTGCATCTGGAGGTGATTCTCAAAAGAAGTCCTCAGAGATGCTTCAGTGGACAAAGGAATCGGAGCAGGCTGTTAAAGAGTGTTTTGAAGTCTGTCAGGTTGGTGAGCTTTTGGCACCAGACACCAATGATAAAAGCTGTGAGACGATCAAAGCCAATGAAACCACAGCTGTAAAAAAAGTGAGTATGGGGAATGTGCACAGGAGGTCTTCTGCTGTCAGGCAGTCCAAAGGACATTTGGTTAATTATAACAGTGGAATAAGGAATACTTTTGTGGTAGTACCATACAAAACCTCTGAATCGAACAGTAGCGCGATGACAATTCCGGAGCCTGCACGTCACACTGAAGAGTCAGGTCAAGTCGATTCTCTGGAAGAAAGACCACCACTGAACAGCTGCGGTCAGGAGGCGGCGGATAGTACCCAGCAGCCTGATAAAGGCAGAGGTTGCAGATTGACATATGTAGTGCACCAGACTATTCCAAAGCAGGTAGATGACTGCAACACTTTGACTCAGGAAATTGAAAAAAGAACATTCTTGGAAAAAATGAAGAATTCAGAAAGTCAGTTCCAAAATCCAGATACTATCTCATTAAGCAATAAACTACAAGATAAAAAGAGCCATGCCTGCAATGTGAATCATACTTCCCAGTGTTCTGATAAAACCAGGAGTTGTAGAAGGACCTCTGTGTTAGAGCTAGGCCCTTTAGATTATCAGAACAATTCTGCTCCCCTTGCACATGAAGGAAATTCACCATCGGAAAACTTAGAGTTTAGTTTGTTAAGCAACAAGGCACCACTGCATGCTCTTGGTACAAAACAGTTGGTTGGTTTCCAAAAGCAGATTCCTGGCGAAGAAGCAACACTGGATCTAAATGTGAAGCATAAAAAACCCAAGAAGACGACCCAGGAAATTTGTTTAGAACAGGAGATCAGTGAGATGGAGCTAAAGAGCTTCAGTGTTGATGTGCAGCCTCAAGAAACCAAGGCTAAAGAAGGGCATAAACACAAAACAGTTAAAGTAGGCAAGGATAATGCAGGGAAAGAACATGGGGAAACAGACACGGGTCTGAGTGCTCAAAGAGCCAATAAAAGGAAGAGGAAGAATTTGAGTTTCACTTCTCAATCAACAAGTCAAGCAGATGCAACCCCTGTTTTCTCTCTAGGGAATGTGCATTCCGCATTTCGAGATTCAGGTTCCAGGACTCAGCAAGATTCTTTCCATAAGGATCTTCCTAAGGCTTTGCCTCAGGCTGATTCTGTGGCTGTATGTCCCAAAACTCCTGAGTCTTCTGCAGTTGGTCTTTCTAAGACCACCTTACCACGTTCTTGTAGTTCTGTTCAGTCACATTATGCACTTCAAGATCAAGTGAGCCCAGAAAGAAACTCGTCTCTGCCCAAAGTCTCAACAGCCTTAAAAAACGATTCAAAGCATGTGGCTTCTGGCAGATGTGAGAAAAAGACAGCACATGCAATTCCTGAAACCTTGCAAAACACAGCACAAGGTAAAGGTGAGTGATGAAAAGGGGCTGTTGATAGGAGGTTCAATAGGTGAATTGCGGTGGGGGGGCGTGAAGCCCTCCATCTAAATCTTGACATTCACCTCTTTCTGTGTGCAAATCTGTGCACTCCTATTGGGTTTGCTTGATTTAAGCTAACCTGAAGATCTGGTTTTCTCTCCCAACCAGCCCAGAGCTTTTATTGCTCTGCACCTAAAATGAAAGCTAGACTGCAGTATAGTGGCAGCTCACTGTGAGAAAGCTCAGGAAAGCAAAAGGTCTATGATTGGATGGAAGTTTGCCCATACACGTGCTAGACGTTTGCCAATGCAAAAAGGGAAGAAACAGATGGTTTTGTTTCTTCACCGTGATTGGAGGGGGATGGGAGTCCAGCTAAGAAATACAATAGCTGCTTTGTGCTCCCTTACAATATCCACAAATTGCCCAAAGCCGAGAATCAAAGATGCGAGCAAAGGATAGTGTGCTGGTTTTATCTCCTGCCTCTTAACCTTGTGTGAATTATTACTATTAGGTATTAAGGGCATGTCCACCAAGGAACTTCCTTTGCTGTTGTGCTTCTGCTTTAGTGGAAGAAGAGAAGTATAGGAAGTAATATTTATGTTAAAGAGGTGCCCTGAAATCCAGAGATGTTTTGCACAAGTTGCATGTGTGAATCTCTGAATGATACCTTGTCTGGGAAATAAACCTGCACCTTTGGGAACAGGAGAACATTAGTAACCACTTGCTGTTGGGAACCATGTGGAATTTAAACTACTGCTTTTGAAATAAAACCCAATTTGGTAGCCAATCAGGCCTAACATTGAATTTTCAATTGACTCTGGATGTTCAGAGTTTAGAAATGCGGGTGGCGCTGTGGTCTAAACCACTGAGCCCAGGACTTGCCGATCAGAAGGTCAGCAGTTCGAATTCCTGTGATGGGGTGAGCTCCTGTTGCTCTGTCCCTGCTCCTGCCAACCTAGCAGTTCGAAAGCATGTCAAATTGAAAGTAGATAAATAGGTACCGCTCCGGCGGGAAGGTAAATGGCGTTTCCGTGCGCTGCTCTGGTTTCAGTATTTCGTTGCACCAGAAGCGGCTTAGTCATGCTGGCCACATGACCTGGAAAAACTGTCTGCAGACAAACGCCGGCTCCCTCGGCCTGTAAAGTGAGATAAGTGCCACAACCCCAAAGTCGTCTGCAACTGAACTTAACGGTCAGGGGTCCTTTACCTTTACTCTTGAGTTTATTTATTTTTAATAGGTTTAAAGGGAGTCTCAGTGTAGCTTAAGCAGTGATCAATTCCTGACTCTTCACAGACCACAAGGTCCTGCAAGATTCAACCAATTCTGTACCTCTGGAATCACCTCCAACACGGCCAAGAAGACAGACAAAAGAAGTTCACTATGCACTGCCCAAGATTAACACGTTAGTATTCTGTTTGATGCCGAGTGCCCTTTTATAAGAGAGGGAGTCGAAATATATATCATGGGAATCCTGTGCTGTCTGTGGCCTGAAACCTTGACTGTCTTGCTGGGGGTGCCGTTTCCTGGAATATAAAAATCAAAAACAGTCTGTACAACAAATTATATTGCTTCTCTCTCTTCTCTGCTACAGCAAACTGAGGAGCGGTGACCCATTTACATTTTCTATCTACCCCGGGTCCCCTGTGTACAACACTAAAAGAAAGAAGTTGACCAGAGGATCTGGAAAGTCCAAGGAAACCTAAAAAGAGGAAATTGACCCTTTTGTGAATTCACGGTTTTTAGTAGGAAACAAGTTTGTTACTGTTTAAAAAAACTTTGGGGTTTCCAGTATTCCCCCTTACCTAGTCTTTTTTGTTCTGGTATTTCATTTCAGAAATAAAACATTTCCACCTGAAGTTCAATTGGATGTTTGAAAGCCTGTCAGAACTCCAGGAATGTAGAACATCTTATTCTAAACAATATATGACTATTGGCTTGCATGAAAGTGTCGAAAGCAGAGTTTCAGGGAAGACATGACCCCATTTAAATGCTGCTTAGGCCATGCACTAGATCTGCAAGTTACTCAGCTATCCTACACCTGTTCCAAGTGCAAGGATTATTTTGTAAATTGAACTACAGTTTACCAGTTGTCTCCTTACAATTCATAAACAAGTTGACACATAGGTTTGGATATTAGTAGTTTATTTATGCCAAATATCCCCCATAAAAAGAATAGGAGCCATGGATGGGACAAAAGATAATGGTCAAATGGTTGAAAATAAGTCTGAGAAACTGCACCATTAACCTATCTGAAAGGAAATAAAATACACCCGGCCTAAACACAGGAGTAAATCATTCCTGCACTTCAACTTGGGTACTATACATAAGAAAAGGACTGCATTTGTCTAAGTCTTTGCCCTATTGAACTGTGGCATATACTCACAACTCTAACATTAGTAGAATCCTCTTACAATCCTGCCAACGTGAGGCTTTGCAGTGCACTTCTAACCATGTCTGTTCAGAAGCAAAGCCTACTGAACTCATTGGGGCTTACTCTCAGGCAACTGAGGTTAGGATTGCAGCCTTTGTCCAATTTCACTAGGTTTTAAAATCTTGCAGTGCTTTACATACTCCGGTAAGGGCCCAACAGCCAGCTAGAAAACAAAACCTACTCCATTATTTAAATCATTCACTGTAGAGCTCATCTCCACCCCCAGTAAGGACTGTCACTGTGGGTTTTGGTTGGCAAGAAGGCTAACAGCTTAATTCACAGGCAGCCATCTAGCCTGCCCTGTGTGCCTTTTTACAAAAAACAAAATCTGACAATGTAGACATATTCCCCCCCCCCAAGTGCTATACTACACAACAGTGCGATTCATTCATGTGGCAGGCGACCTTCTTTCTGGAGCAATTCTTGAGGTCTGTTCCTTAAAGTCTTGGCTGGGAAGAGAGCTTTGCCTTTAGGTTTTCAGCAAGTTTATCCATGAAGTCAAATGTGTTCAAGTAGTCAGAGCGCGTCACACTGAGATGAAGAAAGAAAACAGTAAATGTTATGGTAGTATGAGATTTAAAATAGATCTAAAACATTAGTTTTGCAGGTTTGTGTCAGGAGCAGCATGGCACAAACCTTGGCTGTTCTATACACGCGCAAGAAATGTTCTGACAATGTTTTATGCCACCTGATTTTTCTCATTCTGGGGTGGGGTGAATCCTCGATCCACTCCTTTCCACCCCTCAATCTAGTATCTCAAGGCTTCCTTTCCTTTGGTTAAGAAGAAAAAACATGGGGGGGGGTCATTCCTTTCTCAAAAACCTACATTTATAGGCATGAGAATGTATTTTAGATGCATGTTCCCTAACCTTGGGCCTGTGTGGCGACTTTGGCATGAAATACAGAATAAGAGCTTTCACAATTTGGCAGAAGAAGGATTAGCTGCTACGACCCTGGCAAAGAATGACTTAAAACACTGCAGCCATATTTTACTGGAGACCCGAGTAGTTCTGCTTTCAGTTCTTGTAATTGCCTGTCTTTGGGATGCAATTCAGGTCTATGCTGCAATGAACACCATACAAGCAGTTTAGGTTTTTTTAAAAATGTACAAATTCTACCTTTATGTAGTAACACAATTCCTTTTCAAAAGAAGATAAATCAAGTTTTCCTAATGGGCTGCGTTTACTCACTTGGGTAACCCTTTGATACAAGCAGCCAGATCTTTTGTCATAAAGCCAGCTTCAATGGTCTCTATGCAAACATCCTCCAAGGCAGAAGCGAAGTTCTTAAGGTCTGTGCTGTTATCCAACTTTGCTCTGTGAGCAAGACCTCTACTCCAGGCAAAGATGGATGCTGAGAAAGGTCAAAAGGAGAGAGAGAGAGAGAGAGAGAGAGAGAGAGAGAGAGAGAAGATGAATTGAGCCAATGGTTCCACTTCTGAAATTATGACCATCTCTATTACCACTACTCCCTCCTGCACCAGGAGCACCTAACAATCTAATTTTGATTTCAACTGGCGATTGCACTCCTTGAACTGAATTATCAAAACTTCCCCTGTGAAGTGTTTTCCTCTAGAGTCTTTTAGCAAGTAGCCTCCTGACACACAGCTATACAGTGATACCTCAGGTTACATACGCTTCAGGTTACATCTGCTTCAGGTTACAGACTCCGCTAACCCAGAAATAGTGCTTCAGGTTAAGAACTTTGCTTCAGGGTGAGAACAGAAATCGTGCTCTGGGGGCGCGACGGCAGCAAGAGGCCCCATTAGCTAAAGTGGTGCTTCAGGTTAAGAACAGTTTCAGGTTAAGAACGGACCTCCGGAACAAATTAAGTACTTAACCCGAGGTACCACTGTAATGGCCCTGCAACTCATCTGCATCTCCCCATATGGGAATCTCGTTCCTCAAATGGCGTCAAGATTTCCAATTTCTGCTTCACAGTGTTTTCCCATTAAGAGAATGACGACAAAGACATCCAAGCAGTAGAAGTTAAATGCTTTCCTGCCATACATTTTTTCTTGCACCTCTCACCTGGCACACGCGTTTCCTGGACACTATGGAACCATTACTGTATTATAATTGTGGAATGACAGACTACGTGAATCCTGGGAACGGTTTGGATTCTGCCTTTATTCATTTTGAATTCCGCACACTACACAGCAATACAGTGGTGCCTCGCAAGACGAAAAGAATCCGTTCCGCGATTCTCTTCGTCTTGCGGTTTTTTCGTCTTGTGAAGCAAGCGGCTTAGCGGATTAGCGGGCTTAGCGGATCAGCTGATAAGCGGCTTAGCGGATCAGCTGATAAGCGGCTTAGCGATCAGCTGTTAAGCGGCTTAGCGGATCAGCTGATAAGCGGCTTAGCGGCTTGGGAAAAGGGGGGGGAAAGGAAAAAAACCCTGCAGGAACTCGCAAGACATTTTCGTCTTGCGAAGCAAGCCCATAGGAAATTCGTTTTGCGAAGCACCTCCAAAACGGAAAACCCTTTCGTCTAGCGGGTTTTCCGTCTTGTGAGGCATACGTCTTGCGGGGCACCACTGTATTTTCATCTGTGCTGTGCAAACTACATAGCACGCACCCCACACGATTATTTTGCTATCTGACATGTCTGCAGAATCCATTCCCTCCTATCTGCTGCTGTTCCCACCTGCAGAATGACTCTTAACAGAGGTGTCTGCTAGGGTAAAACAAGGGGAGGTGATTCTTGCCGGTCCCTTTTTTGAACCACACCCCCACAGGAAGATGCCTCCACTGGATCAAAAGCCATTCTGCAAGTGAAACAGCAGCACCAGATTTCACGTTGTACACAGGGTAGCCTTTTACTAACTTGTCCTACCCGTGCAAGGATAACTGCTACCACAACAGGATCCTGCCTCCACGCCCTCTCTGAAATCTGCTCTGGAGGCTTGGAGAAATTGATTCAAAACAGATTGGGGGGGCACAGGTGGGAGGAGAGGGAGGGGGGACTTCCTTTGCACTAGCAGTAATCCTTGCAGTGAAGGGACCCTGAAATAGTGCTGCAGGAGACAGAACCTGCTGTTCCTACAGGCATAATATTCCATACCAATAGATACAGCTTAACAAAATAAGCACGAGAACTAAACGAGACTTTCATTCTTGGGAATAAGCTGCGGCAAAACATGCTTCACGCACATTTTCTAGGTATGGCCGAGACAGCTGGGGGCAAACTTACCGATCGGGTTTGTAGAGGTTTCTTGACCTTTCTGGTACAAGCGATAATGGCGGGTGACTGTGCCGTGAGCAGCTTCAGCCTCAACAGTTTTGCCATCTGGGCAGATCAGGACACTAGTCATCATCCCTAAGGAGCCATAACCTGGGCACGAGAATAAACTGAGAACTTTAGTTTTTTGCATGGCGTACCAGGCGGGGCAAGTAAATCAACCTGGTATGTCTCAACAGCCGTCATACATACAGAAGATAATTTTCAATCTAGTAATTTGGAACAAAATATGCAAGTGGTCTCCAATTCTGTCAGAAATGAAGGACAAATGTGAGGAAATGACAACAATTAAGGAAAGTGAGTTAGGTATATGCTTAGCTGGACTTGACTTGCATTTGCCTGGAATTCGCAAAGTGTTTTCCACTGGTGGAATTGAGGAAGGCAATAAAATTCTGATTACAGGATCGTGGTGGCCTAAAGGCATGTGATCAAATGCTATGCAGAAGCCACTGCCCTTAGGAGTCCTGTAAATTGCTGAGCCATGTGGGACAATTGTCAGGGCCAACAGCATCGCGTCTGCCATTAGGCTACAGAGTAATTTTATGACATTCACCTTAAGGCTAATTGCGAACACCCATCACTTGTCTTTCAAGCAAGGCTAGCTCCTTAACAATTAGAATTTGCTGCTAACTCTTCCTCTCAGCCCTATCATCTCCATTCCTTCAGAAAGTTTCCTGCCTCCCAAGCACGTAAGTGTGGCAAGACCGGTTTTGCTTCCCAATACTCAAGAAAGCAGCATACATTTTCCTTGCTGTTATAGGCCACACACAATACCTGGGTAAGAGCAACATAGCCATGAAACGTTATGACTGCTACCAGTGCAAAGAAACTGCAAAACTTGCTTTGAGCCACTGATTAAAGGCAGAGAACACGTCTCCTTTCTGGTGGCCCCTTGCCATTCTTGGAAACCATGTATTGCTGATACAGGAATATTTATCGGAAATAGGTGTTCCTTATATCAACATTATGTACAATAATTTGCAACTCCCTGCTGGCCGATCCATTGTACACATTCATGTTTGATGTAGAAAGGTTTGCTGGAATGAAATATTGTTACATTGCTGAGTGGGTACCGTCATCTGTACGAGGGAACCACCTTGTTTTGTATACTGCAGGGAATTTAGTTGCTTTCCCCTTCTGTGACAAATCCTGTGCTATGTGGAAGCTTGCACATTTTGCCACCAGGAACTGTAGTCTTTGTAGGGTTTTCAGAAGCATCTAACTGCCCACTGTTGGAGACAAAATGCTGAGCCAGGACGCCCTTGGCCTGCTCTAACAGGCCTATTCTGATGTCCCAACAATTATTAAGTCACTCCTCACACAGCCAACCCACGTCTTGCCAAAGATAAAGAATTTAATCTCAAGCTGAAGAAATGGCATCCTGCAGCAGTGCTACAAGAGAGGGGTGGATCATACCTTGGGCAACCGAGTCAGACTGAACATCCCCATCGTAGTTCTTGCAGGCCCAGATAAATCCTCCCTCAGATTTTAGCGCCTGGGCCACCATGTCATCAATCAGCCGGTGCTCATACCATATCTTTTTGGCCTCAAACTGTGACTTGTACTCCCTGGGAGGAAAAGGAGAGTAGAATTACAGGTGGAAATTGCAGGTCCGGTATATACAACCCATGAGAAGAAGGGAAAGCAGCTTACACCTTGCCTAAAGGATGTGGGAATGTGGTGGGGAAGGGGAGGAAACCTGCCTGAGTTTCCATGCTAATGTACCTTACGATATTTCTGGCTTGCGTTACATGAGGGCAGATTTTAGTCAGAATATGAGAAGCTTCATGAAGGTAAGGGCAGTCCAATAATGGATCCAAGTACTTAAAAGATGGTGTGGGGAACCTTTGCTCCTCCAGATGAACTACAAGCTTCCATGATCCTTGGCCACTGGCCGTGCTTTCTGGGGCTGGTGGGAGTTGGTGGTCTCTCCTTTGCTGGTGGCCTTTAAGCAGAGGCTGAACAGCTGGGGATGTCACCTGAACTTCCTGTAGGGGACTGAACTAAATGGGCAGCAAGGACCCCTGCAACTAGGATTCTGTAGCTCCTCAATCCCTCATGCTCTTCTACAGAGTAATCAGCAGCAAAGTTGCGGACTACCATTTCCTTCCAGTGTGGTCAGTGCAGTGGCAAAGGAGCCAAGGTCCGCAGTACAGAGAGAGAGCTCTGCCCAGGCATCTCTTCCTGTTCACAGTGTAGAAGTGGCAGATCTAGTGTCCTCTGCCTGTGTTTCAGCCTGGAAGAATGAGGTTGACCTTGGGATCTTGGGCTAGGATGCAAGGCAGCCAATGAACCTTAGGGGACTGAATTTTATGTCCGGGCCTCCAGTGTCTCTCTTGTCGGATTTTTATTTTCATATGAAATATGAAAATCAGTTCTTCATTCACTCAGGTTCATAGCTTTCCTCCACCTCACGTTTCTGTAGGAGTTAACAGAAAGAGGTTTTGCAAAACGAATGACTAACTGGTTCAGCTTCCAGTGGCATTAAGAAATAAGATAAAAAATGTGAGATTTTGAGGTAGACCTTTTTGACCAAAGACTCAAAGATCAGCTACCGTGACTAATAAGACAGTTCTTTAAAGAAAGATACACCTGCAAGATGAATATATAACAAAATATTGATTACTTCTCATAGATCTCCTGAAAGATGTCCTTAAAACGCCCATCATATTGCTTCAAAATGGTGTTTTTGGTGCTCAAGTACAGAGGCCATGCTTTAGACAGCGCCATCTGGAAAGAACTGTGGGCAAAGTCCGCAATGGACTGGTCAAGGTTGAACATTCCCAGAGCCACACCTCCACAGTCTATACCACAGGAGAGAGAAAGAGGAAAGTAAAAAAAAGGAGTCTGTTAGAACAGAAACATCTGCTTTTGAGCAGTACGGTATTTAATAGTGTGTACCACTCCTCTCTCTGACACCACCCCCCTCAATATTTTTATATACTTTCATTTTAAGAAAACAGCAAACCACTCTGACATCTTTTAAAATGGAGAGTATAAAAATATTTTTTATAAATATTATAAATTTTCAACTCGCTTAAGTGTGTTTTTTATCTTTACTCCTTTTTCACATTAAAATTTAAAAAATTAAAACAGGACTCTAAATCAGTCTTTTCAGAAACTGGAATGCCTTCTGGTGATAATTTCATACCTGAACATTTTAATGCAAGACGACTAAAGTAATGACTAATAATGAAACATTACTCTGTGACATGACAATTGACCTCCTTGGAATGATTCTGTGGGGCTTAGAACACGCATCGATGCGTGCAGTGTAATGCAACAGTAATTAATGGTTAAGGAGGGTTTTGAGCAAGGCTGCCTTAGTTCAAATCTCAGCTCTGGATGGTCTTAGGCAAGTCGCTATTCTATTACACCCCAGTCTGACATACAGAAATAATACTGACATACCTTACAGGGTTATTGTAAGGATTGTTTTGCAATTTCCCAGGCTTTCTCTCTCTCTCTTTTTCAATGCCTGGAGGACCACTGAGGAGTTGCAAAGTATGAAGTTACACTGGGCGGGGACGAAGGACAAAAACCTCAGTGTGTCTGAACGGATTCCACCCAGTCTCCGCTTGTCACAGTCTGCGGGCTGGCACACGGCCTACAACTGTTCATTCATGGCCATGGCTCAATGGAGAGAAAGCGTACAGGGAACATTCCCATAACGTTTAAGGACTGTACTGCAGCCACCAATTATTTTTGTACGGCCTGATGCGTGGCACATATGTCCAGTTCAATGCAGCATTCATTACATCATTACATCTCTACATCAATGAACACAACCATATACTAAACATACAGATCTAGTCCACAGCTTAAATGAATGGAGCCTCTCATTCATACAGAAGGCTGGGAAATCAACTGCTTCTCCATGCAAACACAGCCTCCTAGCAACTTTCCCAAGTTCCACTAAAGGAGTTAAGAAGGCAGAAGCAGCATTCCTTTCCCCCTTTAAGAGTAGTAAAGAACCTGATCGTAACTTTGTGGGACACGCAAGCACAAACCTCTCCAGTGCCTTCAGACAGGAATCACCAAATGCCCATTTAATGCTTATGGATAGTATGCATTTGCAAAGCACTTTGAGTATTCAGAGTGCTCTGTAGATATTGTCCAAGTGATTTATGGAACCATCATGAGAGGGTGGTAAGTGACTTGGGCCAAGTCTACATTCTGCAGGCTCTCTCCTTTCCTGTGCAGATCCCCTTCCTTTCAGCCTCTTCCTTCTTAGACTCTTAGGAGTTTCTTGGTTCCAACATGTGCATGGAACCAAGATGGAAATGGCTGTGTTGCATCCCTTCTGCAACATTCTTCCAATTCAATCTCTCAAGACTCCTGGGCAATCCAGGCAGGGAAACACAGTGCAGCAATTCTCATCCCTCTGCAAACATACATTTCAAGAACTCTGCATCTGTGATTGCTAGAATCAATCCTTTCCCTTGTAGTCCTTTCATCCTATCTATACACATCAAAGCTAGAATTACCCCAAATTACATTATTGCCTTGCGCAGAATGAAGCAAGACATTGAAACACACGTAAATCACAAGTTGGTTTTGCAACCACCGACGCCAGTTTCACAACTGTTTGAGCAACACCAAAGCAACTTTGGGTTCCTGGGCTGTGCCCTTGCCTCTGGCAGAAAAGAACAGGCCTGTATGTAACAGGAACAATGGTGACAGGTGACAGAACAGCATGTACAGAACAGAAATGCTGTTGTTGTTTTTCATACTTCATGTGCTCCTTGATCTAATATTATGGAAAGACCACAAGGAATTGTTGGAAGGGAGACCCTGGCTCACTACTAAGATCGCCAGCCTATAGCTATATAGGGTATGATTCAACTACAGTGGTGCTTCGCGAAGCGCATCGAAAAACACAAAACCCTTTCGTCTAGCGGGTTTTTCATCTTGCGAGGCATTCGTCTTGCGGGGCACCACTGTAAATGTTACTCAGAGTGGACCCACTGTAGTTAATGAACATGACTAAGTTATGTCCATTAACTTCAGTGGGTCTAGCGAGGAAGATTTAGTTGAATATCACCATAGTTACTAGTTCCTCTGCATTCTGTTCCCACATTGGCAACTTGGGATGGAGGGCAACGGGGGTTAGGTTTGGTCCATGGTTCCCCAGTTGTGGATCCCTGGTTGAAGGTCTGGCTCAATCCATTATTCAGGTTACAAGCCTAACTCTACTTAACATGCCTCCCCAATTCTCCACATTCAAATATCCTTTATATAATCCAACACTTACTTTCAAAGTTATGGACCAAATAAGTTATGGGTTTGCCTCCATTCTTCGGTGTGTAGGTCATCTCTACCTTTCCAGGGCCAGGAACGACAAAGTCTGTGGCTCTGTACTGCAGAAGCACAAACAAAATGGCCGCTTAGGTCAGGGATGATCAACATGCAACTGGCCAGTACCCTCTCCCTACCAGAATTATATACTATGTATGGGTCAGGTCAGATTTCCATTATTCCTCCTTTGCAGGGAAGAAAGAAGGGGGAAATAGTACTTCTTTTAAATGATTTCCAGACCAAGGCAAACAGGCACAGCTGTAGCTTGCAGAGATTTCAACACAGCTCAATCTATTTTAATCATTAACAGGAATTGCAGTTCAGTTCAAAAATCTGTAAGAGATATGCTTTGTGACGATTCACCGATGGCCCTGCAGCTGCATTTTGCTCTCTCTTGCATGCATTCCCCAACCATACAAAATCTCTGATGTTTGAGAGGGTGCGCTCAACAGTAAAAGCCATAAATGCCAAACGCTGCATGAAGCACTCACTTGGTCTCCAAAAGCATGACGGCCAATGATGATGGGCTTTACCCAGCTAGATACTAGTCGGGGGATGTTTTTGCAGATAATGGCTTCCCTGAAGACTGTGCCCCCAAGAATGTTTCGGATCGTTCCATTTGGAGATTTCCACATCTTCTTCAGCTTGAATTCCTCTACCCTTTTCTCATCTGGAGTGATAGTAGCGCACTTGATTCCGACATTGTATTTCTTGATAGCTTCTGCGGCTTCCACGGTGACCTTGTCATCGGTTGCATCGCGGTTCTCTATGCCCAGATCATAGCTGCAAGCAAGTCCCCGAAACACAGTCATTTGTTAAGTGCCTTACAGACCCATCCAAGGCCTTACTAAACATGTGCATCATAGTTCAGGGTGGAAAACATGCTCAAAAAGAAGAGAAGAGATAGGAAATGGCACAAACTGAGTAAAATGACCATCTTCTGCAGGTGTGGGAAACCATTGGCCTTCCAGATGTTGCTGAACCACAACTCCCATCATCCCCGCAATTGCTTGATGGGACTGATGGGAGTTGGAGTCGCCATGAAAGAAGGAGCTACTTCATATACAAGTGGATAATTTCATGAAGTTAACACCTGGAGGAATGAGCAAAAGCCGCTTGGACAGCAATGTTGATGCTCTCCTTCCAGTAAAAACAAATGAATGAAAATGTGTCTGGACTCAGGTGTGTGGGATTGTACAGCTATGCTATCAGATACCTATTCTGCTTTGGCAGTGTCAGCACAAGCAAAGCAGCACATCTGGTTAGGCAGGTATCCGGAACAAAAAGCAAAGTGCAAGGGAAGTAGGGGAAAGGTTAACGACTCAACGGTTTAATGTACAACCGGTGGATGCACTGAAAAGATTTTGCTGTACTTTTCTCCATGGTACTCTTGCCAATAGCTCTGGCAGTGTGTGGTGTTAGGGGAAGGGTAGTACCTCTGGTGGGGGACACACTGTGCTCCTTCTGGGGCGGTTTGTCCACCTTTGGCCCCCAACCTGCACTCAGTTCTGCACTGTGGCTCCTAGAAGCTGTCAGCACGTGACAGCAGCCACACCCCGGGAACGGCTTTGACTGAGGGGAGCTGATGGGTCTCACGCCCTTAGTGAGTTAGGGACTTGCCCTGCATGCAAAGACAGGCTCCAGAGGATTGCGCAGACGAGAGCAAGAGTGGGTCCAATGGTCAGGAGGGCAGTTTCTGAACATGCTGTAGAGCAGGCATCCCCAACCTGCGGACCTCCAGATGTTTTGGCCTACAACTCCCATGAAAACCCTAACCCTAGCTAACAGGACCAGTGGTCAGGGATGATGGGAATTGTAGTTCCAAAACATCTGGAGGGCCGAAGGTTGGGGATGCCTGCTGCAGAGGGAAGTGAGGGGCAGATGGGGCTCATCAGCCTGGGAATGTAGCCCATCGAGGAGAAGGAAAACTCTTGATCCTAAACCTCTGCTGCCTTAGGAGATCTTTGGGAGAAGAAAAGGTAAACCCTACACAAAACAGGAACGGAGTCCCTAAGACGATTGGAGGGCACTTTGTGTGCCTCCTTCCGGCAACTCCTGCAGCCAAGCTGGTGCTAAACGTATTGCTCTGCTTTCCTTTGGACCACATTGGAGAGGCCCAAGACTGTGCCAAAGGGAGGTCACTTGGTGCTGGTAAGGCAGCGGTTTGATTCCAACAACCATGTGTGGAATAGCAGGTTGACTTATTTTCTCAACACTGTAAATGCCCACCACAGGCTCACGTGGTTTGAAGGCTGAAGAAAATGGGGATGAGTCATTGTGGCTACAGTTTTGTTGCTAGCAGGTGATGCCCAGGTGGTGACAGCGGTGGGGGTGGGGTTCTTCTGAATAGCCATAACATTGGTAGCCAGCAGAGCTCTTCAGAAGCAGGAAAATGGGTGAAAGTGCTGCTGTGGGGTTGGGGTGGATTAGTTCACTGAGCAGATCAAACAGAAACCTGAAGCTGCCTATTGTGTTGCTACTCTCCCCAGACTCCACTGCAGAATCCCTAGGCCCTTAATAAGCTGCAGGAGAGAGACAGAACACCAAAACATGGGTCTTTCCTTAGCACAGAGACGTTCGTGGAAAATGAACCGCAAACCTCTTACACTGCTGCCACTTGTAGCAGGCTTTTGTGCCAACTGGCATAGGAGCAATGCAAGAAAAGAAAAACTACCGTATTTTTCGCTCTGTAAGACGCACCCAACCATAAGACAGACCTAGTTTTTAGAGGAGGAAAACAAGAAAAAAATATTCTGAATCAAATGTTGTTGAAGAAAGCAACGCAAAGCCTCTTCAGCACAGCGGTAGGAACGTTTCCGCTGCCCTGAAGAGGCTTCGCGTGGCTATCCCAGAAGCCAGAACGGCAAGAGGGATTTGCTGGCTTCAGCGATAGCAGCGCAGCCTGCATTCGCTCCATAAGACGCACACACATTTCCCCTTACTTTTTAGGAGGGGAAAAGTGCATTTTATAGAGGGGAAATACGGTAAGTGGCAACTTAGTTTGCCTAGTTAATTCACAGAGCCACGGCCCAGCATGAAAACTATTAAACTGTTAGATGCATGAAAAAATCCTGGGCTGTGTGGCCGGAGGACAGAGCAAGGAACACTTGTCAGGTTCCTATTTTCTGAGCAGTTCAAGCTTCCCTGGACCCCAAGGTTTTTGTTTTAAAAGAGAAGTTTGGCCAACAGAAGCATCTTCTGTTCTAAGCAAGTTTGCACTGGCCACTTACAAGAATTTACAAGCCAAAATACCTCACTCTTTTAATACAGTGGCACCTCGGTTTAAGAACAGCCCTGTTTATGAACTTCACAAAACTGGAAGTAGTGTCCCAGTTTGCAAACTTTACCTCAGTCTTAGAACGGAATCTGAACGGTGGAAGGGCACCGGTGGCAGGAGGCCTCATTAGGGAAAGCACGCCTCGGTTTAAGAATGGTTTCGGTTTAAGAACGGACTTCCGGAACGGATTAAGTTCGTAAACCGAGGTACCACTGTAATAATAATTTTATTATTTATACCCCGCCCATCTGGCAAAGGGTACCCATTTGAGAATCGGCATTAAGTGTGAACACACAGTCACGAAGTACTTAACAGAATTTGCCTCTATTTGACAATTATTTATAATCAAGGCACACCATTTCAAAGTGGATATTAATCTTGGGGTCAGCAAAAGTAACATGTGGATAGTCCCTAAGAGAGAAAGAAAATATCAAGCAAGACTCTCCCAAATACAAGAGCTAAGCAGTCGACAAACACCCACGTATAAACTGGAAATTTCCTCACAATACAGAGGACCTGTGGAAATCCAGTTACCTGTGAAGATCTAGATCCACATAGGGAAAGATCAGCTTTTCCTTAATCAGATCCCAGATCACACGGGTCATTTCATCTCCTTGCATCTCCACCACAGATCCGCCATGGATTTTTTTAGACATTGTGATCTAATGGGGAGGGGAAAAACACAAACACTAAATACAGATTATGGTGACATCCGTTGATCAAATTGGGCTGCTAGTTGGCAACAGAGACATTACGAAGGGGATGTTCATGTCTGAAATGATCCCAGTGCAATTTAGATTTTGGGGGCAAGAAAGGTAAGTTATGCACACCCATGACATTCATGCTCCATTCTGATTTTTAAAAAAATTAAATTGTAGTTTCTTGGAGCATAGAATGGAGTTTATTTTTCCATTGGCTCTACATAAGCTGCAATAGCTGGACTATCTCTGAGCATTGCTAAGCGGAAGGATCACGTATCTGCCACAAGCCCAGATCCTCCTGTGTGCATAAACCACTCCAGAGAATATCAAATTGGACATTTCCGCTGTCTGCAACCAAAATAGCACCCATCTCCCCCCGCCCCTTGCACCAAGGGGGAATGGACAGTAGCAAGCCAGGAGAAAGCAGAGAGGAGTATTCAAGGCCAGACCAGTTCAGCCACAACAGGCGGAGGGAAATCTAGATGTTTCTAGACCAGTATACAGGTAGTTGTTTCACATTGGCTGCGTTGCTTTGGAATGCCAAGGTTACATGGCTCGGCTCCTGTCCTTCAGACATTCCTAGAATTGCATGGGATGAAGGCACAGGAAATCTCCTCTCTGGTAAAGGTACACACTAGACTAGAGCACAAAGTCTGCATATTCTATGGGGTTTCCAGCCACGGGTCTCCTGGCATTGAGGATGGGCCACGGCAAGTTTTGGCAAGCTTCCTTCAAAGCCATGCCATCTAAGTCACAGTGGCTTGAAACGTTTCGGTTTAAATAATCATACAGTGCCTAAGATTTGCAAGGTGCCTTATATGAGCGCTCACAGATCTTGGCCGCTTTGATGCTTGCGCACGCAGCCTAAAGCTCCAAGATATGCCTTTTAGATCGCAGAAGTTGCCATGTGTGACAGGGGAGCACAAACAGGATCTCTTCATGCAAGCGAATGACCCCCGCGAGTTAAGAGGCCTGCAGGAAGTTCCGCTGTATATTACTTTTCTGAAAGTGAGAGAGCCAGGCATTTAAGTAAATAGGAGGAAAAATTGCAGCTCCTACTTGGCCCTTGATCCCTGTCAACAAAAGCACTGTTCTAAAACAATCCATGGCTTACTTATAATCCCCACGGGTATTTGCCGGTTATGAAAGAGCAATGACTTGGCCATTTTTGCTTTAAAATATTTTCCATTTATCCTATGCTTTTGTTTAATGCAAAAAATCACCTTTACCTACAAAACTGCCTTGCTCTACATGTGCCCACTCAAACGCTTCGATCGGCAGAATTGGCGCCATTACAGGTATCACATGATACTCATTCTGGATTTGTAAGACCGCAGTTGTTTAGTGTGGCAGCGCCTGAACTTTGGAACTCCCTGCTTGAGATCAAGCAGGCGCCTTCACTGTACCCTTTCTGGAGCCTGCTAAAAATATTCCTGTTTAGGCAAGCCTACCCAGATGCTTGGGACGTGGGTGGCGCTGTGGGTTAAACCACAGAGCCTAGGACTTGCCGATCAGAAGGTCGGCGGTTTGAATCCCCATGACAGGGTGAGCTCCCTTTGCTCAGTCCCTGCTCCTGCCCATGTAGCAGTTCGAAAGCATGTCAAAGTGCAAGTAGATAAATAGGTACCACTCTGGCAGGAAGGTAAACGGCGTTTCCGTGCGCTGCTCTGGTTTCACCAGAAGCGGCTTAGTCCTGCTGGCCACATGACGCGGAAGCTGTACGCCGGCTCCCTCGGCCAATAAAGCGAGATGAGCGCCGCAACCCCAGAGTCGGCCACGACTGGACCTAATGGTCAGGGGTCCCTTTACCTTTACCCAGATGCTTAGAAAGCTGAGGTAATTTTAATCTGTTTAGCATTTTAACTTTAGTATGTTTTATAGTAGGTTTGTAATTTTTTTTGTGATTTTACTGTTTTATGTTTGTAACCCTTGAGGATTTTGTTTACAATCAAGCAGTGTACCAATTTTATGAAATAAAATATAAATAATATAAAAACAGAGCTTTAGGCTGTACTCCGCACATTTTTATAAGTTATCATTCACTCAATGTGCATGCAAGTCTTCTTTATTGTTATAGGTCTCAGGGCGGTTCACAGAATAAAATCAAAATATAAAACTACAAAATAAAAATAAAAACCACAACCCAATAACACCCCCCCACAACAACCACAACCAACAGCCTGGTTAAAAAGGAACGTTTCTTTCTGTTGCCTAACGGTGTATAATGAAGGCGCCAGGAAAACTTCCCTGGAGAAGTTTCCTGCTTGTAAGACCAGGATTATTCATTCACAATTACATTTCACAATGTTTCATGGAATTACTTTCATCACCACAGGTGACTGGGTGTGCGCACACACAGAGTTAAGCAACAATTCATTATACAGCACAGCTAAACCACTGATCACAGCGACCGATTACTGCCGAGTAAACCGCTGCCATTATAGTAGGAAACCCAATGGGGCTGGGAGGGCAACAAATTCGACTCTTACCTTTGTAAGGTAGGCTAAATCCTTCACAATCGCACGTCCCTCTCTACACTCCATGCGAGTAAGCAAGAAGCATTAACAGAATTCGAGGATATATTCTAGCCAGGCAAAAGCACCCCCAAGGAGGGTGCAAAGCAGGTGTGGCCTGGGAAGAGTCCAAGGGCCAGATACATAGGCTTAGAGGGCCACCTTTGCCCCCAGGACCAGAGTTCCCCCACCCTGGTTTAGCATTATGTGTGAGCCAGGCCCTTACGACAAACTTCACCTCTGATAGAAGCGATAGTGTGGGGCATTGGGAAAAGATCTTAATGTTTCGGGACAGGCTGATACAGGTGGAGACTCCTGCAAGCATGCGACCTCTGCACAAAAAGTGTACTATTATTACCATCATCATCATTTATATACTGTCCATCATCACCATTGATTGATTGATTGATTGCCCCTTTTTCAGAAGATCCCAGGGCGGTAAGGTAAAGGTAAAGGGACCCCTGACTGTTAGGTCCAGTCGTGGCCGACTCTGGGTTGTGGCGCTCATCTCGCTTTATTGGCCGAGGGAGCCGGCGTACAGCTTCCGGGTCATGTGGCCAGCATGACTAAGCCGCTTCTGGCGAACCAGAGCAGCGCACGGAAACGCCGTTTACCTTCCTGCCAGAGTGGTACCTATTTATCTACTTGCACTTGATGTGCTTTTGAACTGCTAGGTTGGCAGGACCCAGGGCGGTATACAATACTAAAAACACATTACGGAACATCAGTGATAAAAACAATTTTAAAAACATACTGACAAGAAAGCCAATAATACTACAACCCTGCCTTGCCAGGAATCCCAGCAACATACCTCCTCAGGCATCATAATTCCAAGCATTTTGCTAGTTTAGGAATGGCATACCTTTCTCCCAGATTGTTCACACACCCTGGAATGTGTGTGCGTGCCGCAATGGAAAAAGGAGGGCTTTAAGGGAAGTATTGACATCAGTACTCATAATTTAAAGGAGGTCTTTCTGAGTGCAAATTAAACATCTGTATGAACATGACCTCAGTAGGTGAGTTTTACTATAAAATAATACTGGGCCCAACTAATACCTGAGTACAAGGAACACATTTGGAAAGCAGTCTCGAATTCAGAAATAAACATACTCTATCCAGCACAACAAGAAGGGGAAGACAGAGGACAAGATGGTTGGATAGTGTTCTCGAAGCTACCAACATGAGTTTGCTCAAACTGCGGGAGGCAGTGGAAGACAGGAGTGCCTGGCGTGCTCTGGTCCAGGGGGTCACGAAGAGTCGGACACGACTAAACAAAAAATCCAGCATAGTGCAAAGATTAGGGGTAAGGAACCTGGGGGTCTCCAGATATTGTTGAACCTCAACACCCATCAGCCACAGTCAGGAAGAGCAATGGCCAGGGATGATGGGAGTTGTAGTCCAACAACATCTGGAAGGCCACAGGTTTATGTCTTGGGATTGATATTCGGAGGCCCAGCTGGAATTCAGAGGTGGATTTAGGGGAGCATGACCGGCTCAGCTGCACTGGGTGCAGAGCCTTGAGGGTACCCCAACTATGATGTAGACTGGAAAGCAAGAGGCAGGTGCTGAATTTTGGCATTGCACAGGCAGCCACTGAAATTTGAGACCCCAAATCCCTGCTCTGTCATGAAGCTCACTGGAGTGATTGTCACTGAGTTAACTGGAGGAAAGGCAGGATATAAATATAAATAATGCTTGCAGTCTTACACTGTTTGCCATGTGGCGTTTTCAGTTTCTACTTACTCTTTGGTTTTGTTTTACTCACTATAACAGACAGATTACATACGATTATGAAAAACCGGAATGAAACATTTAAATTGTAAAAGAATGTATTTGCAGTGCATTGTGCAGCACTGCAAAAATCATACAGCAGAAATGCTATTATTATTTGTACCCCCACCCATCGGACTGGGTTGCCCACCCCCTTGGGCAGCTTCCAACATATATAAAAAAAGCAATAAGCAAATCTAATCCCCATTTCAAAATGGTGCACACCCTACTTTCTGTGCTACACTTCCTTTAAGCCGAAGAGCAATTTGAAAGTGGAGATTGTGCAAAACTGGCATAAGATACAGATAAGGTATCGCAGATAAATATAACCGATTATGTAAAAAGAAGAAGAAGAAGCAAACATTGCATTGCTAAGCAAAAGGCATTTTCGATTGGAAGAGGCGCCTGGGTGCCTTGGCAAGATCTTAAACACATTGACATCTTTCCGCAGGACCTGCAAGACAGAGCTGTTCCACCAGGCCTTTGGCCAGGGCACAGCCTGACTCCCTCCCTCGGCAATCTTCGCGGAGCTCTGGCCCAATGGTTGCCAGTGGCTTGAATTAATTAATTTTATAATGAATGATTTTGGAGTGTTGTTTATGCTGTACTTTTGTACTGTTTTATTGTTGTTAGCCGGCCGCCCTGAGCCCGGCTTCGGCTGGGGAGGGCGGGATATAAATAAAATTTATTATTATTATTATTATTATTATTATTATTATTATTATTATTATCATCATCATCATCATAGTCAAGCAGACTATTTGGAACACCAACTCTGTCAAGGGCACAGTTCAGATAGAAGGCTGCTGAAATGTTCAGATTGTGTAATTTAGCTGTCCAATAGATTAGTACTGGGATTTCATTGCCTTGATGGGAACACAGGCATGCAATCTAAGGTTGTGCCATTGGGGTAAATTAATCTGGAATAATGAACCACCCACTGGTTCTTCTGCTGCCATACTTTCACCATGCAGGGCACCACCCTATGCAGAAAACCTGTACTGAACTGAAAAGAGGTGGGGGAGCCGATCCTTTAGCCATAACATCTGCAGGGACAAGACACTGTGTACGTTACTGCAGCATGCTATAAAGGAACCGATCTACATAAAACGATCCCCAACCGATCAGATGCAAGCCCAGCTCGGCTAGCTGCGTAACAAGGGGGTGTCAACGGCCTTCCCTGTCATTTTGATGTCTCCAATTTGCAGAGGTGGGATTGGCAGTGAAGCGCGGACAAAGAGATAAAAAATAAAGAGGCGGTGAAGGGGTCATAACAACAAGGAAGGCGCTACGCATCTATAGGCGTGTGTGGCATTTCTGTCTGCCTAGTTTTAGTTGCAGGGTGGTTTGCAAGAGAAAATGAAGACCCACCCCGTAGTGCATGCCAATGAAGAGAGAGAGAGAAGACCCGCAGACAAAAGAAGTTGGGATCCAGCAAACTCACCTCTCTCTCGGCTTAGATGCAAGTCACTGAAGGTCTCCGGTGGTCTTGGAGTCGAAGTCAATGCAGATTTGCCCGCTGAGCTCTGCGCCGGCGTCCCCTCCGCAACCACTGCTCGCTGCTGCCGTTTCTCAGGGCGCTTGCAAGCTGATGCCCGTGGCTGATTTTAAAAGAAGGGCTGCTGGGGCCACGCCTCCTCCCTCGGCGGCCCTCCGTCGCCTTAGTCCCGCCTGTGCCGCCGCATTCCCCCATTGAGAGGAGAAGGGAGGATCCCGCCTCGCCAATGCGCGCTTCCCACGCAGCTTGCAAGGAAGCGCGCCCAGAGAAAGGGAAGGGCGGCCTCGGGGGCGATCTGCCAATGGGGAGGGCAAAGAAGCAAAAATGCAGAGCAGGGAAAAGGAGGAAGTTGACGATCCCCAAGAAAGAGAACCGGGGATCTGGGAGGAGGAGGGCTTGGATATTTTGCAAAGTGTAACGCATCTCTGAGCCCCCAGGCGCGCAGCGCAACCGCCAATCTGATCCTGGGCACCAGGCTGCGCGGTGGCACTGCGCAGTGTTCCCCAAGTTGGGAACAATCTGAATGTGAGGATCCTAGGATCTTAAGGGGCAGTGCCTAGATATGGGCAGAGAATGGCACCTGGCTGGTAGGAAGGGGGCAAAGGCTTTCAAGGCAATGAAAAACAAGAACGCCCAAGCCCTGGCCTGTCACAGCCAGAGATGTTGCTGTTTTCTCCGAAAATCCAAGAAAGCCGAGATATTTCAGACCACACCTTGAGACAAGCATGGTTACAGTTCCTTCCTTGCATGGAAGAATTCATGGCAACTCTAGCGTATGAAAATCAAGATTCTTCTCTGCATTTCCCCTTTGGGCTCTGTATGATGGTCACACTAAAACTGGCGGTTGGAGTGTAAAGGATGTATGCAAAACTAGCTTTTTATATATTTGAGAAGACTATCACATACCACTGCTTTTTAGCAGTTAAAAAACTGAAGGAGGTACTTTTATTTCCTCACAGCTTGGACAATGATTTTATGGGGTAGAGAGCTGAAGGCGAAATAAATGTCTTATCCAAGGCCGTCCACTGACGTTATTTGATGTCTCAGCTCCAAGCCGAACATGTTGTCACTGGGCAAACAGTCAGTGTCCCACTGTGGGGAGTTGGGTGGGTCAAAAAATTACACAAGTAATTCTGAGAGCTGCACCTGAGCTTGTGGCGTTCAAAATCAGACCACAACGGCATGTTGCTCAATGTGTACATTGACGCACACACGGCTCTTTTCTGCCTTTCTGTCTCAAATTAACAATATTCATAATTTACATACATTGAGAATGAGGAACCACCCCATTCATGGAGGAAAAGAAACTTTGCACATGCTCAGAGGCACACAATTCAAGTGGTCAGAATACTTGTGAGTATAATGTGGCAACTCTACTTAGGATGTCTCGTATATATTTATGTAGAGAGAGTTTTTTTTAAAAGTGACTGAAATTTGCATCCGCTTGGTTAACTCCCAGTTCTGATCCAGATCTCACTGAAATTTGAGGCATGCCGTTTCTGACTTCAGATGGATGAAATCGTTCCCCACACCCACAGTATAATCCTTCCTGGTATGGTCAAAGCAAAAAGTCCTAACCTGGCATACGATTATCCTCTCCTCCCAGCCCCCAGCACTGGGCATTTGTGTGTGTACGGGTGAGCTTTCTATCATCCTCCAAATGTTGCTGAAATTTGTCTATCTATGGATACAATGAAGGAGTGCCCCTTTAGGGGTGAAGTCAAACTGCTGGAAGGTTGTAGCACCTGCTGGGACTGTAGAGACCGATACAGGAGAGACATGTTTTGTTGCAGCCGGGGCAGATGAAGGCGTCTGGTTAAGCTGCTGCAGATGCACCAGGGCGTTTCTTCCCTCTGTGGTCATTCCTCCTCCGGCCACTGCTATGGATGCACCACCAGACACGCTGTCTCCAGGCACTGCGGTCATCGGCAAGGGGTTCCCAGCCTTCACACGTTTGCAGAAATCCTCGTAACGCAGTTGGCTCTGCCAACGGGCTTGGTCCCCCCCCCATAGTGCATGCCCTTGGGGATCCTGCCATCTTCCGTTCCGTGGCCATGACCAAGCGGGTGTAGACATAATAATAATAATAATAATTTATTATTTATACCCCGCCCATCTGGCTGGGTTTCCCCAGCCACTCTGGGTGGCTTCCAGCAAAATATTAAAAATCAATAATTCATCAAATATTAAAAGCTTCCCTAAACAGGGCTGCCTTCAGATGTCTTCTAAAAGTTTGGTAGTTATTTTTCTCTTTGACATCTGATGGGAGGGCTTTCCACAGGGCAGGCGCCACTACCTAGAAGGCCCTCTGCCTGGTTCCCTGTAACTTGGATTCTCGCAGTGAGGGAACCGCCAGAAGGCCCTTGGAGCTGGACCTCAGTGTCTGGGCAGAATGATGGGAGGTGGAGACGCTCATTCAAGTATTCTGGACTGAGGCCGTTTAGGGCTTTAAAGGTCAGCACCAACACTTTGAATTGTGCTCGGAAACGTACTGGGAGCCAATGTAGGTCTTTCAGGACCAGTGTTACGTGGTCTCGGCAGCCTCTCCCAGTCACCAGTCTAGCTGCTGCGTTCTGAATTAGTTGTAGTTTCCGGGTCACCTTCAAAGGTAGCCCCTTGTAGATTGCATTGCAGTAGTCCAAGTGGGAGATAACCAGAGCATGCACCACTCTGGTGAGACAGTGCGCAGGCAGGTAGGGTCTCAGCCTGCGTACCAGGTGGAGCTGGTACACAGCTGCTCTGGACACGGATTTAACCTGCGCCTCCATGGACAGCTGTGAGTCCAAAATGACTCCCAGGCTGCACACCTGGTCCTTCAGGGGCACAGTTACCCCATTCAGGACCAGGGAGTCCTACACACCCGCCCGCCTCCTGTCCCCCAAGAACAGTACTTCTGTCTTGTCAGGATTCAACCTCAGTCTGTTAGTCGCTGAGACAGGAGTGCGAAATGGGATGGGGGAAACCAAGTGTCGAGATCTCTGCTGCGTTGCAAGGCGTTGGACTGGATGACCCACGGGGTCCCTTCCCACCTATGACAACCCCTCCCCCTGCCACTTGAGAACTCTGCCCCATAGCTGTCAACTTTTCCCTTTTCTTGCGAGGAATCCTATTCGGAATAAGGGAATTTCCCCTTTAGAAAAGGCAAACGTTGACAGCTATGCTCTGTCCATCGAAGCAACTGCACTCGAACCGACGGCCTGCGTGGACGACGACGATCGCGGGGCTCGTTTGCTCGCGCCTGCGCCGCTCGCCGCATTTTGCGTCGATTGCGTTGCCGGCGGCGGCGGCGGCGCCCCCCCCCCCCCGGCTCCGTCTCTCGGGGGTTGATTGCGTTGCCTGCGGCGGCTCCTCCTCCTCCTCCTCCTGGCTCCGTTTCTCGGGGGTCGATTGCGTTGCCTGCGCCGACGGCAGCTCCTCCTCCTCTTGCCCGTGGCCGGCCCAGGAGTGGAGGCCGGAAGTTGATGCAAAGGCGGAAGCGCGTCCAAGTCGAGTCAGGTGCTGCCTTTGCCGGGCATCCCGCGCTCCCTCTGTCGCTGTTATTGTTGTTGTTGTTGTTGTCGTCGTCCCACTGGCGGTCTTGGTGTCGCTTCCGGAGTGGGAAGCGCAGCCTGCTAAGGGAGGCAGAAGGCAGAAGGAGCTGCCTGGCTGGGAGACAGGGAAGGAGAGAGCGGCAAGGGCAGGTAAGATGCTCGCCGCCCCCATCCTCATTAAATAGCACTAATGAGTATTAATAGTATTAATATCCTTCCTATTCCTGGCAGGAGGGTCTGGAGGGCGTTTCGTTTCGGGCGGGACTGCCAGGTTGCCCTCCTGCCTGCGTGGAGGCAAGGAAGCAACGAAACCTCACTTGCCAACCCTTTTTCTAAAGTGGGATTTGCTTGCTTTTAAAGTATGCAGGTGGCTTAGTTTGTATGTGTGAATCCTTTTTTTTTTTTTGGAGGGGGGAACATTTTGATTCTCACAATGTAGCTTTTTTTTGGGGGGGGAAAGGTTTGATAGAACACCAAACTAAGGCTAAGAAAGGAAACGAATGAACCAATTGGCTTGTTTTTACTTGTTTTATGCAGCCTACATACGCAACTCGGGTGTGTAGGACGTGGTGTTCGAATCCTGCCACCTCTGCCTGGGTCCTCCGGAGGGGAAAGTTGCAGTGTGTGTGGTAGTGATGTACCTTGCTGCCTCTTGAAAACGAAGAAGGCAGGAGGCTGCCCGACACTCCTGCGTTAAGGTGAACAGGTGCAAAGGAAGAGAGGGCTGTGATAACCTTTCAGTATTGAGTAGTACTGGGAATGTTTGGTTATCGTGTGGGATCCTTCCCCCTTGTAATGAGCCGCACCTGGCATTCCCCCTATTAAAGGTGCAGGAACACACTTTTGTCACGCTTTTTATACAGAAAGTGCTGTGTAAATGACTATCTTGTACCTCTGGTAGTATATAATTTATGGGTGGGGAACTGATGCTGAGAGATCACCTCGTACAAGGTCACCTCGTAGGATGTTTGGGAGAGGATCTGAGTCCGGATCCAACACTCGTTAACTTGACCGCAATGACTACAGCACATTTTGTAGTGCTTTCCATGGCAAAGGGGCACTTTGTTATAAAACTTGGGGTGGACAGTATGAGAACTCCACCCTTTAAAGCTGAAAGTAGGGCAGCAATTTCAGGAAAACTCTTGCTCTGGTTAAAAAAGAAAGAAAAAGAGGTGTTGCTACTCATATATTTATATAGGTGCCATGGGTGCCAGCAGAAAATGGCTGGGCAGTAAGAAAAAGAGGTGTTGGTACTTTCTACTATTGAGTACTGTCACAAAAAGAGCCCCAAGGTAGAATAATTGTTGGAACCTGTCTTCAAGAGAGTAGCTGCTCTTAAGATGCAAGCCTGGAATAGTTTGTGTAGAGAAGTGTAAAATATGCATGCGGTTTTTCTCCTTTGAAAAGATATATCCAAGTGACCCACTAGTAGGACAAACTGTAGCAGGAAAGGAGGAAGTGGATGTTGCTTGAATCAAAACCTGCTACAATCTTTGCTTTGTTGAGCTTGTAAAAAAAAATATTCTCATGACTATATTAGACAGCATCAATTGCTTGGACTAACGATGAATGGAATCTTTATTTTTAAGGTTGCTGAGAGTGTGATGAAATATTAATTATCACCCTGTTGTGTTTGTGTGTGTGAGAGAGGTGGAGAGAACATTACTTTGGTATATGTGTTGGAAATCCCCTTCCA